TCCGTTGTCCCTCCGGAGAAGACGACCTGCGTGATCTATGAAGCTGCTTTCTGACTGTGTAATGAATAAAAATAAGACTCGCTTTCATTTCAATGCAGGTTATTATTTCTACATACGCTCAGTAATATATATTAGTCTCCAATTTTGAATTTATCTAGCTTTTTTGGATTCAAATGTCTCTATAAGTCTGTTATTTTTTTTGTAATCGGAAATACGTCTAACTAGGACCTCTGTCTATTCACTGTGGAATAGACATATACGTGTCTCCCAGTATGGGCAGTAGACACCAGAATCATTTACAGGGAGGTGTTATAACCTCCAATAAACATACCCTGAAAGGTGATTTACATCTTATGATTCATCTTTAAAGGTTTAATTAGCACCTGTGTAGGAGTGTGGATGCACCTGCGTGCACATCTGCATCAAATGTTTCTACTTTCTGCAACATTGTGTCTGTTAGCTTAAACTGAACCGTAACTGTGATTGAGGTTCAGTCAGGAATGTTGAATCATTAATACACAGAAACTGTTGAATGTGAACTATTTTACAGTGCATTCTGTTCATTGAGCTGATCAAATGCCTCTAATGTAAAGTTCAGTACTTGAGTAAATGTGCTTTATTAAATTACGCCACTAGATGCAACATTTATCACTCGACCAGGCCGAGATTCATACTTTTATGAATCTACTCTCATTTATTGTTTCTGAAGCAGCAATGTGAAGATTTTTGGATGGATACTATATGCTTAAAGAATGAAGAATCAAATATTTACATTCTGCAAGACTTTCCTTTTCTTTGGTTCTCTTTGGATGAACGCCGTTGTGTTTTTCTCTTGGAGAAGCTTTGTGCTCAAGCTTTTTCATTCGAGGAAGTAAAACAAAAAGTACAACAGCACGGTGACACAGCAAAATTCCGGCCACATTTTTTTGTCTTGTTAGAGGATTACTCTTCTTGTCTTTCCTCCTGGCATCTTTAACCAGCACAGGCGCAGAGGAGAAAGACACAGCTTAGGAATTTATTTGCGGCAGATTTGATTTCACTACGTAAAAACAACTCCGTAAACTACGTAAAACGCACGTTTGTTTGAGAACACACTTAAAACCAAAGGTGTAAAAATGCTGCTGTGTTTCCATTGAGGGCAATGACCTTTGCTGTAAGAACAGCAGGATTTGATTGACCTCTGTGATTGTGTGGTAATGAGAGACGGCAGACGTCACGCAGTGTGAATGTGCTGCCCTCTGCTGTCTGATCTGGAGAACGTTGCAGTTAAAGGGGCATTGCGCCAATTTTACTCATGAGGTTGAGTTCACTGACGAGGAGGAGTAAAAAAAATATCTTTTTTTTTCCAGGAACAGATAAGCAGCACCAGTAGAGTAAAATAATATATGCTATTATAGCATGACAGGCTTCATCACTTCACTAGGGGATAGATTACATTTAATGTAGGAACCATTTTCTTTCAACATTAGTTTGTAGATGAACTCAACAGAATAAAGTCCTTAGATTAACCTAATTAACCGGGTCATGATTTCTTTTGCCTTTAAGTTTGTCAAATGTATTTTTGTGCTCTTTGAGCACCAAAAACAGTGGAATATAGTTTTAAGTAGTATCTTTTGAAGAGAAGACAGACAGACATCTGTCGGGATAACTCCTCTATGTTAGACTAAGATACAAGTTTAATTAATTTTGAATGAATATATTAACTACATAATTTAAAATGTCACAAGTTACATTCAAAAAATAATATTAGGCTTTACATCCTACTTTATTTAGCAATCTCATTCCTGTAATTTAACATAATCCAAGTGAAGGGAGAAGGAGGGTGGTGTTGGAGCCCACATCGAATAAGGCATCATCGCCTGCAGAGTCCGTGTTCAACCACCAGGACGGGAGGATTCCTCACACAAGGCAGCGATCCTCTCCTTCTCTGTTTTGAAAGAAGTTTATGCCTTGATGCGTGATGCCCATCACCAACAACACATTGGGTCCAGATGGGAGGAGGCAGAAAAAGAGAGAAAGCGGGGGAGAGACGGAGAAAGAGAGATAGACAGGGAGCCCGGTTGATGTACATCTGTCATGCATTATTGCAGCGAATGCCAGCGCTGCTATCCTGGCCTTAGAAACTATGTGAGGAGGGGGTCGATGGGGACCTCCTTAAATCCCAATCTGATTCCTCCTCCTCTCCTCCGTCGCCTCTTCCTAGTGACTCTATCAACACACAAACACACACTCACTCTCTCTCTCTCTGCCACGCGCACAGACAAACATCGTCTCCAGTGCTTCCTCTCTGTCTTCCTCAAACACACACACACACGCGCACACGCACTCACACTCACATAGTATCCCCGGATGAATTCCTCAGGAAGGAGTCAGCCTTCATTCCTCTGGACACGACTTTTCCTTAACAAGGTACTGATGGTCTTGACCTCCTCTTCAAACAAACCCTTCCCTCCAATCAGGGCGGATTGCCGAGCTGGGCCTCAGTCAAGGCCTGTGGGTATTACAGAGGAAACGTCCTGATTCTCCTTGATTACTCCCTCTCTTTCTCTAAGTCTCTGTGGCTCTCTCCCTCTCTCAGTCCCCCTCCTCCTGCTGCCCCCGCTCTCCCTACAAATATCTCTGTCTCAGTGGCTTCTGGCTCCCCCGATGTCTCTAACCCGATCCCTGTCTTTGTCTGTCTTCTTTACTTTCGTTCTCGTCTCATCTGCATCCATCCCTCTGATTATTCGCTGGTTAGCTGCTGTTTTTCATTCTCCAGCGGTTTGTCGGCAGCAAACCCGAAGTCCTTTCGAACAAGACTTTCAGGAGACGGTTCGGATAATGAATTGTGTTTTCACAGATTGAAAAGGCCGACAGGTGTAAAGGCACTCGTGTACAATATCGACTGAACAAGCCCATGTGACTATAAAGATCAATTAAAAAGTTCTCTCTTAAATTTTGCTCATTAGGGGAATCACAAACGCATGCTAGAGAAAAACTAAATAAAAAAAGTTATATCATAGAGATATTCTTCCCGACAATCTCCCTCTTTCCCCTTATTGACAAAAGGTTTCACCGTGAGACCAAGAGAGGTCCATCATTTTGCCAGCAAGTAGGACGGAGCCTCATCGTGCTGTCGAACACGTGCCGTTGCTTTACACCCGTGAAGATATAAAGCCCGTTGTCCTCCCGTGACCGGCATCGTTACAGAGCAGCACTCCTCACCTAACTTCAGCACCACGCTGAGACTTTCCCCGTCTCACTGTGCGTCGCCACCTCTGTCTTCCACTCTCTGGTGTTTTGGATTGAGGCCTGTCTGGTGGAAAGATGTGTTGTTTAAGTGGCACAGTGTGTGTGTTTGTGTGTGTGTGACTGTGTGGAACACATCTGTGCAAGTCTCTCTGCTCATCCTTGCATGTATGTTGACGTGGAACATGTGTGTGTGTGTGTGTGTGTGTGTGTGTGTGTGTGTGTGGGCTTGGAAGCGGAGCACAACGGAGGCATGAAACACGTCGACGTTGGCCCCTCATGTCTGACTGTGACACTGTGACGACCGGATGGCCGGGAAGCGACGAAACACCCACAACACCGTCACAAAATCCTTTTTCACATTTCCTGGACGGCAACGCCGCGGCACGAGCGGGAACCGCCCCCTCAGACAAGAGTCCTTTCTCGGTGAGGATGAAGGGGGCCATTGTAGGCCGGGAGGCAAAGGTCGCCGCGGCTGTTAGGCTCACGCTGTGTCCGTCCCCCTGTTGACTCAGCGCCGGTCCCGCAACGGACGGACAACCCGGGACTAATCTGTGTGTGTTCCGGGCCTCCATTAGTCAAATATTAGTCACAGCGGCCATTTAGCTGACGGCCACAAAGAGAGCTTTTGTTCTCCAGACTCACTCGGAGGCCAAAACGTGGATTTCTCAATCAAAATGTGAGGTGATGTGAAAGTATTTCCTCTGGGTGTTCTCTGCGTCAGAGGACTCCCACGGAGGTTTGACTGGACGAGCGGCTGATGCCCCGGGGCATCTATTCGCCAGTCTTTGCACTCGTCATGGTAGGAGAAGCACATCTAGATGATAATAAGATAATACCATCAATGACAGCAGGATTCCATTTAGTTGCTTCCGTTTCCCCGTCTTGTTTGTGTCGAATCTTGTCTTGTAAAAATAGGTTCTGTTGGCTTTCTTTTTGGGTGGAATTCTATTGATTGAATACGGATGTCAGACAAATGATCTGATCTCTCATTTCTCAGGAAAAAGTTGGTTGTTTCATGTGTTATTTTTTCACTCCTCAGATGGGAAGCCCAATGAACCTGGAGGCTTTCAATGACGAATGAATTTGATTTAGTTGCCGCAGTTTGGATGTATTCATTGATGTTGTTAGTAACACCTGGGCGGGTGTCTTCTGTGGCAGAGACCTGATGTGACTTTGTTTTTGTCTGGTTGGGTGATCCGCATCTTTGTGTATCAATTGGACTGTTGGGAGTCTTGTTTACATCGCTGATGAAAGGTCAAGTTTAATAAATGTGAAATAAATCAGCAGCAAGGCAGATATTTTGTGGGTGTTTTGTTTTTTTAGCAAAAGTGACATTTTCACTACAATAGGAACAGAGCAGTGACACAATTATTGTTTGTAAAGAAAGAGTAACCAATAATTCTTATTTCTTCAACATCCTACAGAATAAACCCCAGGATGTAGTTCAAAGTGACGAATTACATTAAAAGAGGTTATTGTCCAATTTCCACTTTAAAGCTACAATCAAACTTTAAAAATGTTTTAACTCAGAGATCATTTAAAGTTTTTCACAGTTCTACAAATTCAATTAGACTTAATTCAAGTCTTCAAGTTTTTTTAGGACACGTCAGGAACCGCAGTGAGGGCAAGTCGCTGTAGCTGTTATAAGTCACAGATACAAGATAATGCTAAACGCTTAAAAATATGCTACAGTATCAAAAGTAGACCGTTATCATACAAAACAAACATTAGCCGCCAAAGGCTGCTGCCTGTAACCGACCAAGTAAGGCTGTTGGAAGGCATTTTATTGCTCTTTTATTCACCTTCTCATTGGTAAAAGCAGGAATGTTTTATTTGGTCTTCATAATATAATTCACATTCATAATACACTTCATAATTTTTTAATTGTAAATGATCATTAAACTGAGTCTTACTTATGCTTTGGTGGATTCAAAAAAATTATTAAAAAGTAATAAAATCGATTAAACAAAAGACTCCTGAGTGACTCAACAGTCAAACAGAGACTTGGGGCCTGGAAAGTAACAGAAACAGAGTGATTCAGTGGAAGTGAACGACCCCCCCGCCCCCCTCTCACCCCCCTACCCATCACTGAAGAGGGAGAGGTTGGTGAAAGCAAAGGGAAAGGGAGGAGGGGGGGGGGGGGGGGTGACTGGCGACTGAGTGGGACGAGAGAGGAAGAGAGAGGAAGAGAGGGAGAGAGGGAGAGAGGGAGAGAGGAGGGGCTTAGAAAGTATGAACTTGTGTATGATTCAGCTGCAGGAAGCCTGGAGAAGCGAGCAGCGCGCAGCCGGGACGCTCACTCGCCTAAAGGCTCCTCAAAGGGCGACTTTCTCCACTTCCTCCCAGTGCACTGCTTTCCCAGTCCGGACTATTTTGAACCCGTCCTGTTTTGTTTCTTTCTTCTTTCCACGCTGTGCGTAATTTCTATCCAAGATCGAGGAGGAGGAGTTGAGGGGGGGAGAGAGAGAGAGACAGAGAGAGACAGAGGGGAAAAGGCGACATCACAACAACACGAGGACGAGGAATCAAGAAAGGGACCTCAAAGGAACTGTGGGTCGGGGAGGGGGGGTGGCTGGCGTGGGGGGGATGAAAGTCGTCTTGGATATCTGCTTGGTTTTCCTCATGCTGTACAGTCCCGGCGTGCTGTCCTTGTCCACACGTAAGTTCCACGCGTAAGTTCCACGCGTAAGTTCCACGCCGATGCGCAAAGGTTTGGGTTTTGGGCGCATAGCCGGGGCGTCTTTGGTCGGATAAGACCAGTCGTGTCCCTGTGACACCCAGAGGACCGTCTGGAAAACAGCTCTGCGGGACAGTGTCCTGGTCTGGGATGCGTGATTTTTAAAAATAATTAATAATGAATAATAGTATACGACAAACTTTAGTGTGCTCTCAGTCGATGCAAACAGAAAACCCCGGGCCTTGATGGATATATTTAGGATCATAGTTGGGATATCAATGAGGGATTAAATTAAGAAAATATGTTGTTTCAGAAGGGTGATAGTCAATGTAAACAGTTAAAGAATATCCTAGTAACAACACATTCAATATATTTAACATGATGTTAGTCATTGGGTGGACACTACTAGCCACAGTAATTTTAGTATAGGAATATAATAGAACAAATATTTAAAACACTTTCTATTTCTATAATAAGATCGCATTATGTAAATATGACACACTATGATCTTTCCTGTGCTTTGAGTACGTGTCCCCAATGGAAATGGACTCAAGTGATTCTTTTAATAGGGTTGTGGTTGATTCCTGGACACATTCAAAAGGACTAACGACACTTTGTCCTCTTGACACCTCGTGTTATTGATGTGGTCCCGCTGCAGTATATTGCCTGTATCCCCGCAGAGGGAACTCATCTCCCGGGGGGCTGAATTTCAACAAGTCGGGCCATAATTCGTTTAACACATGGAGAGTAGGGGGGCTTTACACACCGCAACATAACAGTGACATCATTTGCTCGGGTTTTGGAGAATGTTAACCGGCAGCTTAATGCACAGTAACATAAATAATTCAAAGTTATGTCCCGCTTCCCCTGTTAAGTGGCTGGATTAGATTTTATGGAGCTCGCTGGCAAAGCTCGTCAGAGAGGATCTACTGTTTTTCAGCCTGTTTAAAAGGAGCTGATAAAAGAAAGTATGGTTTCAGAGGCTTACAGGGACAATGGGCCTTGATCACAAGCTGCCCGGCTGTTTATTACAGGGCTTAATTGGTCATTACTGTTTTATTCGGTGTAATAATGGAGAGCGCTTCCCTTTCTCTCAGTGAGGACTGTGGTTTTCAGACGCCACTGGAACAAACAGTCTAAATGTTTTCTTCCCAACGTATAATTAACGCAGATCATAATCCCATAAATGTTAAGCTTATAACTACTGCTGGGACATAAAGAGGTATTTCTGTTGGAATAGGATTGTTTAAGACCACATTTTAAAACACACAATGCAACCAACAATCTGCTTTTTAACATAAACACACATTCTAATAACCCTTGGTACATGTACTGTTAAGACCTGGGTAACCCCTCCTCTCTCCAGATGTGAGCATCAGTTAAATACCTCCAAGGTAGACTTCATAATGATAATTTGAAGAGACAAACATCCGGCGCTGTCTGTTCTGTCCCTTATCAGCGGGGTTTTTCAAGGCTCTCTCTGCCCAGATGTTGCGTGACTTCTTCGTCTTAGCTTGTCCACACTGGCCCATCAAATTGTGCCTCTATTGTACAACAGACAGAGAAAAGTCCAGGCTTTCTTTGAACTGTTGGATGAGAGAAGAGCAAATAGTTCTTTAGCTAGAGGAGAGGTCACATACCTTTGAAGACCGACAGCCCAGAGGAAATGGTTTTCACTCCACCAAAGACTTAAAAATATAAAATGTCTTCTCGCTGAAACAACGAGAAAAGAAACAATCATCCTTTGCCGTCTCCATCCTCCACTGTCGGAGGGTTGAACTCGTCCCCGGCCCTCGATCGGAGCTGGGCTTCAAGCACCCTCCGTTTCTCCAAACAAATAATACTTTACAAGCCATTTCCTTCACTCAGCGTGTCAAGCAGAGACAATAAACAGCAGTAATTGTGTCTATCGTCCTGAGGAGGACTGGGTGTAAAGAGGGCTTCACAACCGGCTCCGGGGCAGACTCGAGTCCTCATCGCCTGGAATACATAAACACTGATTGTTATTCAGCTGGATCAGCAAATGATTTGCTAATCACGACCCCCCTTTAAGCCCCCCGTATCCGGTGACAAAGACAATACGGCCTCTTTGCATGTGTTTGTATGTATTCACGTGAGTGCATGAGAGTTGGGGGCGGTGTTTGCGTAGAAGCTGGAGTTTTTAGGAGTTGTGATACTGACGTACGTGTGGAGTTACAGTTGAATTTACTTCTTCAAAGCCGTCTCCTCGATAAAGGGCCACGATGTCTGTCAGCGTGAGGTGAATAGATTTGGGCCCCAGGCGCAGATTTGCGGCGGTCTGACAAAGTGTTGAGGCTCTTTCTCACTGCAGTCATTTCTGCTTCGACATCATCATGAGTTGTTTTCATAATGTCTTCTACTTAGGTGGGCATTTTTTCTTGTATTTCTGTTCCTTGTATCCAAATAAATTAACACTTTGCCAGTTTCCGTCACAGTATCATCATGCCTGGGACTTTTTTTGTTTCCATCATATGAGAATAAGCTGCCGCCATCACCTTGTTACTAATGAAGCAAACAGTAAACAGGATCCTTTTCTGACATCCATGTTTACTTTGCTCTTGTTATTTGTCTTATTTCTGCCGAATAAAACGATCCACGCAATAATTTGTGGGCTATAATTTAAAAAAAGATAACAAACAGATAATCTACCCATCTCATGTCATGTCTGATAATCTTATGTCTGATAAACTTTTAACTTTACACCCCAGTTTTGCAGTGCAGGTTTTATTTTTAATATCTATAGTTTTAACTCAAACTCATAACCTCCATGACGCCACTGTGATGTCATCAACGTCTTTAGACTTTGAAACGGTCTAATCGGAGCCAGAGGAGACCCTACTCCGTTGCCCTCACCCGCCTCGTAGGACTGACGAGCGAACTGACCTTTTTGCGTGTCATCGACCGCCTTCCTCTGCTCCCCCCCGTCTCCTCCAGATGTAGCAGTAATATACCCCCAGGACCCCGTCCTGCGCATGGGGTCCAACCTGACCGCCAGCTGCTGGGTCCACCCTGACCTCGGGGTCCACGCCGGCTCTCTGTTCTGGACGCTCAACGGTCGACAGCTGCCCAGCTCCCTGTACAGAGTGCTGAGCCCCTCCAACCTCAGCGTGACGCTGGCCGGCCTCAACGCCTCCAGACAGACGTCGGGCGACAACCTGGTCTGCCACAACCACAAGGGGCACATCATGGCCGGCTCCTGCCTCTACGTCGGCAGTAAGTCAACGTCCATCACTGCTCAATTGGGTTTCTTCAAGCTGGGTTCCATTCACGTAGAAGTCCATAGTTTCATTTTTCGTCATTTTATCAGGATACTTGTTGGGCCGACATTTCTCTGGAGTCTTTGTCTGCATTTAGTCTTTGCTTCTTTCGTTGACTCTTGTTACAGAAAAAGGGTAATTTATGGAAGAACAGTGAGAGCAGAGGGAAGGAAATGGGAATAAGGGGAGACAACAACAAAGTGGTGGGTACAGAGTGTAAAGTGTCTCGGTGGCGTATGTTATGTTTAATATTCCTGCTAGTAAGAGGCCTCAATGACCCGCGTGGTCCATTACTCGCACAATCACTCACAGGTCATGGGTCATAAGACAATTTTACACAGACACATGTTCGAGTGTGAGGACCAGCATTTACATAGACCCTTTTTTGGAAGGGTTAAAAGTTTTGTTGGCTGACGCAATGCCCTCCAATAAACCTTTTTCTCAAGGGTCTATCTTCAATAGAAAGTTATTCATTTCGGGAAATACTAAAATGCACATTTACATTTAGTTACACGTCCCACGTGACTTTTCACTCTTATCTTTTTCACTCCGTTTCTTGGAGTTCCCAAACATAGAAACATACACGGCATTAATCTACGGCTGTGAAAAGGTGAGGAGATGAAAAAAACCATAACCACGATGAAACACGTGCCCCCATTTTGTCTGACACACACGTACGCACACACACACACACACACACACACAAGGAGAAGCAGTCAGGATCCTAATCTCTGTGCGACGCTGGTGTTGAGCACCCTGTGTTCTGAGAGACGAGGAATGTTGGCAGGGATCCCGAGTCGGACCAAATCAGACAGCACGCACACACACACACACACACACACACACACACACACACACACACACACACACACACACACACACACACACACACACTCCAATTAAGAGAAAAACACACCACTTTTTGAGGAACACCGATAGTGGGGGAATTACACTCAGGAGGACGGGGCTGAAGTAATGGCTCAAGGTAACGTTGTTCCCCCAGTGACCCTACATCTTGCCTCCACCTTCTCTGTCTCTGCGCCACTCTCTTCTGTCTCTCATGTCTGTTTTTTCTTTTTTTCCCACCCCTTTCGCCCCCGTCTGTCCGCCGGTCGCCCCTCCTGTCCCAGTGCCTCCAGAGAAGCCGGTCAATCTGACCTGCTGGTCCAGGAACACCAAAGACCTGACTTGCAGCTGGGCCCCTGGAGGAAAAGGAGAGACTAACATCAGCACGCTGTACACCCTCAAGTACAAACTCAGGTAGTAACAGAGACACAATGCGGCTGCACACATTACCAACGTGATTGTTATTATAGACAGCGTCTGAATTAATACAACATACTCTTAATTGATAGATACATAGTTACTTAATCAACTTTGGATTTTGTTTTGCCACTGGGCTGTAAATGTAGGGCGTGAAAACCAAGTAAAGTTCAAATGTGCTAAACATCCAGCTTGGTGAACAGACCAGTAACAATGTAACCTCACAAAAGTTGCAAAACGGTGAAACCCTTAAATAGAAAAGGGGCTTCCATCCTTCCTAATGACAATAAAAAAAAAAAATCATATTTCAATGTTTACAATCAGGGATTGGCAGAATTTCTGTTCCTTGTATTTAAAATACAATTACATTTGAACTTTTTGCTATTGGCATTTTACATAAAAAAATTCTAACAAGGGTTAGAAAGCAATTTTTAAAACTTTAAAGTTTCCTCAGTACATTTTGTTGCTCATTGAGAACATTTTGAGGACATAAAATCCGTTGAGATTATTTTTGTGAGGTTGACCCACATGTATGTGTAAAATAACACCTGTAAATTATCAAAATATATTTTATCAACTAATTAAATATACAAAATACATTACATTACATGTCATTTAGCTGATACCAAATCACCTTTGAGAATCTTGCGTTAAAAATAACAACAGCAGTAGAATTAGGAAGAGGGGTTTTCAGCTGGAAAGGCTACATTTTGAAAATGAGGTTGCTTGTCCTTCCCTCCCAGGTGGTACGGCAAAGAGAAGGAGTGTGAGGATTACAGTCATACGCAGCCGTACTACTGCAGCATCACGCGGGACCTGCACCTCTTCACGCCCTACGAGATCTGGGTGGAGGCCTCCAACCAGCTTGGGCAGGCTACGTCCGATGTCATCACTCTCGACATCCTAGACGTGGGTGAGTGTGAAAAGGAGTGAACTTTGACCCCCCCCCCCCCTCGTTAATAAATAACAGTGGATACAAGGACGGAATGAGACATTATCCTTTTATTTTCTCTTTATTTTCTTTCTCGCCCCGGGGTGAGTTGAGTGGATTGATTTCACTCTCATGCCTCAGAGGTATTTGTCTTAGCTGAACGTTGAGACAGCGGCAAGATGTAAATAAAATATAAAAGAAGTATGTCTGGCGGCGCCCCTGAAGCTTATTTCTTAACACATTATATTGTGCTTTTTAATCAGTTTTTTAAACAATTCTTGGTTATCTGCTGGATATTTTCTTGGCCCGTACCAGTGGCTCTAAGTTCGTACAGATGGATTTATATTTGAAATTATGGTAACGGTCTGATGTGTGGAATAAAGTAGTTCTATAACCGTAAATTGAAGCGGGGGAAACGAGGGGGCCAAATGCAAGCTAAGTGACTTGTTCCTGCCCCTTTATTATCTCATGACCTCTTGGATCAGCAACCGCAAACGACTTTTTCGCTTTATAAAACCGTCTTTTTTATTCCTACCGGCAACAAATTGGTTTAATTCTTTATGGCTTTTGGCTTTTTGGAGCAAGTTGTTCACAAGCAGTCGTCCAGCTTTACACTGATAGGATAAGCGGCGTTCCCTTTTAAAGCTTTGTTACGGGGTCGCTTAGGGAGGTTTAAGCAAAATGACGAGATCAGAATGATTCTCTTCCCTCTTTATCCTCTGAAAAATACTCACACGCTCATGCACATATCCGCGCACACACCTTGGACAGGCGTGTGTGTGTGTGTGTGTGTGTGACGAATGAAAACGCCCTCTCTTTTGATGTGCTAATTTTCTCTTTACTCATGCATACTGGACACACACACAACCCCCTCCTATGTACTGTTGGAATGTTCCAGACTGATCCTCGACCCTAATCCCCGCTCTGAGCCGGCTGCAGACCCCCGATGCCTGAGGAGTTTGGGCTTTGAGGCTTTAAGACCTGCAATAATAGAATCTGATTAGCTTGAAGCTCCTCGTTCGCGGTTCAGCACGCATCTAAGCGGTGTCGGCGAGTCGTACCGAGAGTCGAACCATACAGAGCCTCAGAGGAGAACGCGTCACCAGCGAGGAAACGAGAGTTCATCAGACCGTAATCCCTTTTCCGTTACCTTATGTACACACACACACACACACACACACCTGTAGAAACAGCCGGAGGGCAGGGCACGGCCTGGTAGCTGTATAGAAACAGAGAGGAAGGGGAAGGTGTAGGCAGTTTCTGGACTTATGTGTGTGTGGGGGAGGGGGGGTTATGTTACGCTCGGGTTGCCCCGACCATTATTGTCATGCAAGCAGTTTCCACAACAGTAGCAGGTCATAAAACACAGAAACCGCACCTGCTTTGAGCTGCTGTGAGTCACTCACGTCGCCCGTCTTGTCCAATCGGTTGTTAAGGCGAGGTGGAACCACCCACAGTTTTCCTCTGCATTCCTCAGTCATGTGGAGCCCTCTGAGCCCAAAGACTAGAGGCAACTTGTAATGCTGTCTGCGATGAGGATGTGCAGTGGGATGAGACAATAAATGTTTACAATGATTCATCTGTAATTTGACAGGTCTCATTGGCTTTTGTTGCCGAAGGCTCCTTATATATGTTGGTGCTGCACAGTTCCTCTTTCCAGCGCACAGATTGTTTTATTCCTTGTTAAAAATACCATTTAAATGATTTTCTTTTCTAAGAAAGCTGCAAAGGTGTGATTATTTTACACAAGTCAATTGTCTTATTGTCTTTAGATATCTTGGCTATTCTTGTGAAAATGGCCTAATTGTCTTGAAAAAATATAATATATATAGTAACAACTATAAAATCTAATTAAAAGATAATGTATAATAATGATGTTAAAATTAAAATGTACTAGTCATATATATATTAGTGCTGTCAAACGATTAAAATATTTAATGACGATTAATCACATTTATGTCAATGTTAACTCAAAATTAATCATAACCACAATTAATCACAATTAATCGCAAATTTTTATCAATTCTAAATATCCCTTCATTTATTTTTTTCCATATTTTTAAATTTTAATGCTCTTATCAACATGGAAAAGTGGATTGGCTTTCTTTATGCTAATGTTTTATTTGAGTGAAAAACAACATTGCTAAACAAAAAGTGCACATTTCAGGTAAAAGGTTAGGATTTTATTTGTACTTGGAAATGATTTGTCTGAAAAAAACGATAAACGCGGGTTAAGCTTAATTGCAGTGAGCATAAGAATAACTGAAACCATATCAGCATGTGTCATGTCATTGTTTTTTAATTAGCAATTAGTGTGAACATTGCACCAACATTACTAGGGCTATAAAACTAAACTTGTTTACTCCACTTTTGTGTTAAAAATGTAGTTTTATACGACGGCTTACTGTACATACCCTCATTATATTTACACTTAAAATCCCCCACGAGTAACAACTGACACGTCTGAAGTCTCTGGTTCCTTTGAACACAGTAAACAATCCTCTAAAACCCTCTTTTTTCCGTCCACTAAATCTTTCCCATCTTCTTCTTTCCTCCGAGTTTGTCTTGTTTGTTTATCGCCGAGGGATGACATTATGAAAAGAGACTGCAGTCTATATTGAAACAATCTCAAAAGACCAAAACAGAACGCGAGTAGAGTTAAAATAATGGTCTGTCAGAAGAGATGTTTGTTTGTCAAAAAGATAATCGTTGTCAGATGAAAAAGCCTCTTCCAGTTCACACAAGTCAACTCTTCAGAGACCACAAACCTCCGCCAATGCTGAAAAATCCTTCAATGAGCTCTTTCACATGAAGACATCACTTCCATCGCTTTAGATTTAAATTAAGTGGATTTCTTGACACTGCAAACGTAAGCAACATTTTTGAAAAAGCCCCTAAACACCAATTCTTGGCCAAAATCGATCATTTGCGCCATCTGTCCACCAGAAGTACATCATTTGGTCTTTAGGATAGAAATCGACTTGTTAATGGATGTAATAAATAGAAGAAAAACCCGGTTGCCTCACATGAAATCTGTTTTCATCTGTTTGCAGTAATTTCAAATTATAGTCACAAACTAATTTTCCCAAAAATAAATAGAAATGCAGCTGGTTGATTAGCAGCACACTCATTCAAGAGATTTTTCAAATCCTTTAAGCTTTTGTAATAAAAATGGATTACTTGACACAATGTAAACCAACTCTACAGTTGCCCTCGGCGTTCTTCAGCTCAGGTTTGTTTTTCCAGCGCGCAACTTTACTGGATCACCTTCACCGCTCGTACCAACCGAACTTCTATCTATTGAAAATCGGTACAATAGCTAGTTTACCTAGAATAGATTGTTGCAGATAAAAATACAGATCAGGACATTGGACATTTGTCTGGTGGCCAAATGCAATGAATGACAATGTTGCTCTATATGTTTGCTCACATCTTCACAGTGAGTTAAATGGTGACGAGAAAAAGAAAAGCCAGTAAGGCTTTACAGATTCTTTCCTGTCTGAAATTCTTCATTAGTTTGGTGTAAAATATTGGCTTCAGCGTCTCCAATGTGAGGATTTTGATTCTCATCTTTATAATAACAAACAGATTTTTAGACTTTTGGTCGTGGATGGGAGTGATTAGCGCTACTTGTCTTCACACAATAGAGGTGATTTTTGAGAAGCATTTAGAATCTGATTAGTTGGAATCGGATGTGATGAGATCAGCGCTGCGACTAACTTTTATTGATTCGTTGACTAATCCTTGTCCTGTAAAATGTGTAAATATTTGGAAGCTTAGAACTGGTATGATTTTCAGCTTGCCTGATGACCTCCTCCTCTTCCTCCAGTGACCACGGACCCTCCGTCGGGCGTGACTGTCAGTCGTGTCGGTCAGTTGGAGGACCAGCTGGGTGTTCGCTGGGAGGCTCCGCCCGCTCTCAAAGACTTCCTGTTCCAGGCCAAATACCAGATCCGCTACAGACTGGAGGACAGCCAAGACTGGAAGGTATATAGGACGACGAAGACATAAATCTCTATTCCTTGTCCCTCACACACAAACAGATATATCACTGCAGCTGTTTCTCATCCTAATGCTGTAATCACCCCTAATGTAGTCTGATGGAGGCCTCCGCTGCCAGATGGGTTGACTTTCATCAGACATGCATCTAGAAGTCAGGTTTTCATCAGGAGACAAAGCCCAGCCACAGCCACTGTGTATATCCCTGTTCAAACTTTTAATGAATGAAAAATACAGTGTAAATCCCTCAGCCGTGCCAATGGCGTTTCCCAGGAATCATTTGAGTCCTCTGGGTACGAGTGAAGATTCTTCTGTAATTAAGGTGGAATTACACAGCACTGTAATACAAGCAAGTCTTTGCTCGCAAAGTGGAAAAAGAAAAGAAGGGGAGTGGAAGGACGGCGTCGGAGGGATGAGGCCGCTGCAAAGGAGGAGAGAGGAGACTCAAATCCGAGGGTTTAGGGGTTTGGTAGTGAAAACAAAACGCCATTTCCCTCTGAACCGACCCTTAATCATGAGGTCATGCTGAGGAATGGAGGGATACATCTCAGCTGTTAATGCCTTCAATATGGCCGTAAAGACGCTCAGCGGCAACGTCTGCCGATTTGGCTTCCCGGCGTCACATCATTAGCCCTCCGATGCCTGTACTTTCCCCCGTCCTGCTTTCTGTTGCCGGTCGTTCCTTAACAAGTGTTTACAGACTGGATGCCAGAGAGAGAAAGTGGGGACTATTAGACGCGATTATTAACGGCCGCGTGTGGGCGTCTCTTTCTCTCCATCTATTCCGTCTTTATTCCCGCTGTCACGTACGGTAACAGAGTACATGTGCATGCTCATGTGTGTGTTGCTCAGGACACAAGCAGCTTTGTTATAAAGTTATAAAGAGCAGATATCTACCCAGCGGGCATGGACATTAAAACATTTTCATAAACACGCTGATCAGGAGTCACTAAACAATGTGGCGTGCATGCGTGCTTCGGTCTGTTCATGGTTTCCTACATCTTGACTCTTGTGTTTTATTTCACGCACATTGGTTTTTAGACCTCCAACTCTTCTGTGTTTGGCTCTTTTTTTCCCCCCTGTAGGTGATGGATGATGTTGGGAATCAGACATCTTGTAGATTGGCTGGACTGAGACCTGGAACAGTGTATTTTGTCCAGGTAAAGTACGGGCAGGTTGCGTGTGTGTGTTTCTGTTTCAGCGTATGTGAATGTACCAAAGACCAAAAGTCCGTGTTTATATTGTTGCATCTTCTCTAGGTCCGCTGCAACCCCGTGGGCATCTACGGATCTCGCAAAGCCGGGATCTGGAGCGAGTGGAGCCATCCGACCGCCGCATCCACGCCGCACAGCGGTGAGCACGCACTCACACACGCCGCGTGCGGCTACTCAGAAAGGGCTTCGCTGGCTGTGAAGCTGTGGACAACCGCTGTTGTTGCCTCGAAAGACTTAACAAGGAAATCGCGGTAAAATAGTATCGTAATGATTTTTGGAATGATGACCGTGTCTATGAAAAGAAAACACGGGTCGTAAAAAAAAAACCCAAAACTTGAAGGGATTCCCAGAACTCCCCGTGAAATCTGGCAACGGCACCAGACTGAAGGAGAGGTCCTATCGGTTACTGCGTGCATTCGCTGCCTGAACCTCCCACGGCTCCGTGCGGTCACGCACATCACAGCGCACGGACACATCTTGAGCAATTTATCACTTCTTCCTCTTTGCTTTTAGCAAAACGAGTGTAATAACTCTGCGAAACAGGAAGGATCCTTCCGTGTGTTTAAAAGTCACTGAAAAGCCACCACTGCCGCTCTGTGAAATGTTTCATTACAGAAAACAACGACGCTGGTTTTACTTTCGTCTCATTCCCTCTTCCTTCTCCCTGTCATGCAGAGCGACTGATGTCGGGCTCCTGTGACTCAAAGTCCAGCGGGGATTCCAACTCCACCCTCCGCAGGGAGCTGAAGCAGTTCTTTGGGTGGGTGCGGAAACACGCCTACGGCTGCAGCAGCATTTCCATGAAGCTGTACGACCAGTGGAGAGTGCTGATGCAGAAATCGCACAAAGCTCGCAACCAGGTAGGTAAGCATCACTAATGCAGGAGACACACGTATTTAAAATCAACCGCACAAACAGATACGCACTCAAAGTACAAACTGTGTGGTTTTATGGAAGCTGATTTGTAACAGATTTGTCCTTTTTATTTAGGTTCTCCAAGGGGATAAATCCTAGCACACTGCTGCTTCAACGAGCAGAAAACCAGTGAGGGAGTGTGTTCTTTGTCTATGTGTGTGTGTGTGTGTGTGTGTGAGAGAGAAAGACAGATTGTATTCATATATGGGGATTATATGACATTTTGATGTGGACATTTTGTGCAAACACCAGCCGTGACCTGCGAGAGGAAGGAAAGTGTGGGATTTGTCTTGTCATCATCAGAAGCCTTTTTCAGTCGGAAAAGATGTAACTGATCCTGCTATCATCATAAGCAAGAGCCCATGTGGACTATTCTGCTTCCTAGAGTGGAGGTGTAGCATGAATAATGTGCTCTAAAGCGATCAAAACAGATTCAAAGAAACTAAAAGTGTTTCCCGAGCATCTGAGAGTATTGTCTGACCTTTTGTTGAGCTTTTCCTGTGGATCCAAAGCACCATCTAGTGGCAGTTCAGCATCCTGGGAGACTCCAGAGGCCATCGTTGTCCCGATGGAGAAGAAGAGTAGTTACACAAATATCATACAGTAGTTCCATGTCATGCTTTGTCATGTGAGTGCCAAACTGGTCCACGCTGCAGTTACGTGTTTCTGAGCGATGTGTCTGGTGACGTGATGGTGTTTGTTTATGGAGACGTTTCACTGCCTTTATTTTTGTACTGAATTGTACCAGCATATTTAAATCTGTATAAAGTTATGTTTTATGTCTTAAGTTATGTTTAGTTAGTAAAGAAATAGCAACGAGTGAAGTTGTCATTGATCTTTAATGTTGTTGTACAGGTTATAGTTGGCTGCACGCTACAGCAGACTTCACCACCCTGGAAGGACAAAATCACATTTCATTTTCTCTTCACATCACCACCCAAATAAGCAGCACGCCTGCAATACATTGTGTGCCTTGGAGTGACACTATCAGTGGAAGACGCCACCTGCTTATCAAAAGATACAATTTTAGAATACAAAAATAATGTCATAAATTCACCGTAAAAGAAATGATGTCTGTTAAAAGAACATATGGAGTAATTATAAGATAATGGATAATCCTCTGTGCTGAATCCTCAAAAATCTTTAAGATGTGAAAAATTAAACAATGATTTTCAACCTTAAATGAAGCCAAATTAGCATATATTTAATAACACAATGCACCGTTTCCATATTAAAATTGCGTTTCAGAAAACATGTGATACAAAATAATAGCCTTAATGTAACTTATCAACAGGTGTCAGTTATTATTGTTTTTATTGTTTTTTCTACTTTCTACTCAATTTCCAGATCTGCTTCAAAGTCCACAGCAGCATGTGAGCATGCTCAGTCATCCAGTCGAATCAAGTAAAGAACAACCAAATTGTGACAATTGTTTCAACACATGGCCTCTATATGCCGTCTCTTTTTATCTCTTTAGTGCACCTTGCAGGAAGGCAGAAACTACCCATCTTAATGTGTTTAAATTGACCATATTTTGTTAAAGAATAATAGCTAAGATTACAATAGTTTTTATGAACTATGGAATAATAAAAAAGTTGTACTTTATGATGATGCAAAATTAGCATCTTGAAAAACAACATTAGTGACCAAGAAAACCATCTAAGGGTCATAATTTAGCATTTAGCAGCACAAAGATTGCTGTTCTCACAACGCTGTCCACACGGTGGAGCTGTCTGTACATAAAATCTAATTATTTAATTGAATTTTTCCAAAACAATTAAAAAATGTCCATTTGACTTATCGCAAAGGTGTCCTTCTAACTACAACAAAAAAACAACAACACAAATGCAAACTTTGAAGAGTGCAATGAAAAATCTGTATAAACTTTGACCTAGGCCTTCCCTATTGAATCCAGGCTGCCTCTGGATGCCAGTCCCACAACAACAACAACAACAACAACAGGGCGATGCTTGCTGTATCATCTCTCCGTTTCTCGGAAAAGCTCAACACATAAGTGGTTGCGTTTGCCGTCAGCGGAGCAGGTTCGTCTCCTGCAGGTGACACCGCGGAGCTGTATTACTGCGCCTGAGGTGCAGCCGTGCTTAATATTTAACCAGTGTGGGGTCATAACTCTGCCCTAAAGGCCTTAGTTACCTCTGTGTGCAGGGATTAGTAGAGTGGGAGAGCAAGACTGTAAAAGTCTACTTGGGTTTCTCACGCTGGAAGGCAAACATCTCTGTATCTGTTGGAAGTGAGTTCCCCCTCAGGGCTTTTTTCTGACGCGTTTCAGATGCTCCCCCTGGGCTCTGCTAGCAGTCAAAGCAGCTTACTATTCAATATGGTGGAAATATACTTCCCCTTTCCTGTGGCTGCTCACCAATTTCCTACAATGTTTTGGGAAAAAACAAGAAAAAACATTCTAGTTAAAACTATTTTAGTTAATTCCCTCACAGGATAAGAACTATTTTTTAAATAAGATCATCTGAAGGAATATCTTTGCCTCGGAATTTATGGATGATAAATACTGTACATGTACATGTTAGGAACCTCAAAACTAAGTACTAACTACAGGTCTTGGGTAAATGTACGTACAGTAGTTCCTTCCTAAGGGACGGAACATTTTGGCTTCCCTCCGTGAGTGGTTGAACTAACAATAGAAAACAAAATGCATAAACATCCCTGGAGGTTTTTTTTAATAATTAAAATATTGTTTTTATGACTTGCTAAATTTACCAACCAGTTTATTTAAAACTTTTACACTGATACAAAAATATATTTACAAAGTGACAAAAACCAGTTCAAACTCACCAATCCATGGTTTTCATTACAACCTTGAGCATATTAAATATCCACTTGCAACAGGAGATCCGTGTAAGTCCTTCCATTTTTAATAGCAAGTCCTCTGAGACGCTATTAGTTACAACATACAGGGTGTAGCTGAGAGGTTCCCCACACACTCATCAGAGAGAAACATCTTGAAACACACACACACACTCACACGCATCAATGAAGGCAAAACAAGAAATCGATTTCGCCTGATAGGCCTGGTGTTCCAGACCCCGGGGCCGGGGGCCTACAGCCCAGAGAAGGCTCCACCTGTCAACGCTCAACTCAGAACCCCATCCTACACCATCAGCTCTCGCACCAGATACCGCTCTGTGGATCCGGTGCCTGCGCCCAACACGTGAGGCGTAACCTGTGATGATGAATTTAACATCGTATTTCAAGTCAATCCCACTTATAATGCAAACCAAATGTGTATTTGCACTGGCCACTCGTTTGTATAATGTAATCTGAGAACTATAATTACCAGCTTTTTAATAACATACAGTACATTCGAGAAAGTGTGTCCAAACTTTTGACTGGTACTGTATAAACGTGCATGTTTACGTTGCGACCTGAATTAATTCCTCCGCTGATAATTGCGAGCCTCTTTGTTTGAATCAGACATTCTGTTGGTGAAAAATGAAAAGCACTGCGTGTCACTTTCTTCTCTTTAGCTACAGTCTGCCTAATCTTCTGGGCCGCCAGGCTCCCAATAAACCCTCCAGTGCAAGCTACAGCTTCTCAGGCCGGAGGAAGGTCGGAGGTCCCTCTGAAGACCTCTCTAAGAGTCCTGGACCGGCAAGATACGGACGCACAAACCCAGACGTTTACCACCAGCGCCAGCCCTCCTTCTCCATTCAGAAACGGACTAAAAGACCCAATTATTTCTCAGCCACCCCCGGGCCCGGCTCGTACAGCCCCGAGAAGTTCCATTCGCATCTCCCCAAACCACCGTCCTTCAGCCTGGGTGTCAGACACTCAGAGTTTGTCACGCCACTGGTGGTGGATGTTGTTGACTGACAAAAACGCCTTGTGTTTATTACATTTTTCCCACAAATGTCACAAAATGTAAAATGTGTCTTAAAGAAGGGGTCCTAATCTGCTGATGTAAGAACTGATCAGACAACTTGGCCATTGATCACAATGATTTATACAGTTTATCATTTGAACCAGAGACAAGCGACTCAAATGTACAGTATGATAAAATAATACAACACAATATTCAACATAAATATTACACTGTAAAAATTGTATCCATTTCTTTCCTTAATAAATAAAACAAAAAAAAAACACAACTGTTGCTTACATTAATCGTGCATGTAAAGATGCTTCTTGAGTTTACATCCCTGCTGGCTTTAAAGAAGAGGGTTAAATAAATCTAGGATTTGGCTCTTGGTATGGTGTATTTTACGGGTGAGCTCCATGCGCTGCACTCGCCCAGACCCAGCAGCTCCTTTGCACACACCCGGAACAGGTAGGTCCTCCCTGCCGTCAGCCCGTTCAGTTCAACCCTGGTGCCCTCAAATGGACCCAGCTGCAGGAGGAAATACATGCACATCCTTTTTAAATCACCCGCTTTAATGTAAATACAACACAATGACTCCATGTAGCTCAAAGAAATGGTTGGGCAGTTTAAGGGAAGACGGTTCGGGATATTTGCTGTCTTGCTGAGCCTGTGAGAGCATCGATTCTGTGCTGTTCTTTAAATATGAAGCTGCAGCTTGGAGAGTTGGTAAGCTCAGCACACAAAAGGAAGCAGCTCGTCCGGCTCAGTTAAAAAGTTAATTATGCCTCACCTCTAAAGCTCACGGATTAACACAAATTTGTGTATTTTCCAGAAATGTAGAACACATTCTTTAACACTTGAGCATAGTGTGTAATTTAAATGAAAAGCACTCCAATCAACCAAACCTAAAAGCTACTGTGCCGTAATTAAACCACTTAATACTTTAAATGAGATCACCAAGATGTATAAGTGCTCATGGAGGTTATTCTTACATTGACAGACTTCGTAGTGCCCCTGTTTTCCCACTCGTACAGGATCTGGTATTTCAGGGGGAAGATTTTCAGGTCAGTCCAAGTCGGGGGATGAGACCATTCCAGCAACAGGTTTTTTGTGTCATGAGGGGAAACCCGGACGTCTACGGGGGGATCTGGCCTCACTGCAGAGAGAAGGAGTCAGATTGCATTACATCATCATCAGATAAATCAATCATACCGTGCGTTCAATACTTTTCTTTTAAATTTCTTTTTCTTCATTCTAGCACTCACCTATATCCTCCAACATGAAAGTTGATAGATGGGAGCTGCTTCCACCAGCAGAAACTGCCGTCACATTGAGGATGTAGTTAGTGAGGAGCTTCAGGTTGGGAAGGTGGCAGTGCCAGAGCTAAAAAAGACAAACACAAGATGCTAAGTATTATATTATTTACCGCGTTATATATATATATATTAGTTTCAAAATACTGTCTCACTTTCAAGTACTAATGTTTGCGCACCTAATGTTTTAGAATAGATTATAAAAATGAATAAATGTAAAGAGATATTGATTACAATAAATGCAAGGGACGCAATTATTTCCCTTATCTAAGCAATTATTTCCTTCCTCATACTACCAAGAAAAACGTTAAACTGGTGATAATCAAAAACGTTTTTCTGCTCATTTAGGGAGTCATTGTCTTATCCTGCTTGAGGAGTGCAGGGTGCAAAGGAGACCACAGGAGGACCTGCTCCAAGTACAAAACGTAATGTTCTTCCTGATGTTAGTCAGCTGTTCTTCCGGCCCGCGTGCCGACAGAACTGCTCCTGCTTTTGCAAACGCGGCGCTGATACTGTGATCTGTCCAATAAATCTACCCGAACGAGACAAGTTGTTTGGCTGAATTCTTCCAGATATCCCCAACTGGGCTTCCAGTTTTGATCACGTTTTTTCCCCCCTGGTATGTTGTACGTTACAGCTACTGTATAACAATAAATATAAATCCCCAAACTCAGCAAATTCTGGACCATCAACATTATGGTCAAAGGACTCACTAGAATCCTGTGTGCTTGGTTTCATTTACCCTAAAACCAGGTTTGGAAACTCCCTCTTTTGCTATAAATGGTCTCTCTGCCCCAAATGTAAATGAAGTTGGTACCCGCTCCGATGAGGGTGACGGTGCTGAAACCAGGTCAGAGGATGCAGTGCCTGGTTGGATGAGTCGGCACGGCTTGGTGACCAGGTGTCTGTGTCTCTCACTGACAAAGACATAAACACATATTTCCAATGAGCCCCTCGTCAACGACACTCGACAACTGCATTCGGGTTTCACTAAAAGGTGTCAGGAGGAGGACAGCTGATTTCAATATACCTGTAAGTGGCAATGTAGTGTGTTGGTGGGGAGCGAGAGGATTCGGGCCAGGAGCAAAAGGTCATATTCGGGTAGCTCGCGCACCAACAATTTACCGTGGGAACGGAGGGAGGATCTGAGGGAGGAAATCACACTTTGTAACACAATGTTGGAAGCACAAAACCAGATAAACACTGAGCATATTTTCAGACCGATTGGTACTCACTGCCTGATGTCGAAGTCACCCGCAGCAGCTCCAGGGCTTGACCTCCCATAACACACACAAGGAGAGTCACAGTGACGCACACACTGGCAGCCGTCGCAGCCATCGGAGCTTCTAGTAAGAGAAATGATGACCTGAGCCCAGCGGTCTAAATAGCTCGGTAGCTGCTGTACTGAACAAGATATCAACCGCTCTACTCTGTGGCTGCGTTGTTCTTAGCTATGGAATTTTCTGTAACGCTCGACTTGACTGCACATGTCAAAGTACAGAGATAACAAAGTTACAGCCTGTGTCGTCTGTGTCTGTACGTGTTTAAGAAGCCGCTGATCAGCACTTTAATAGTTTGTGAAAGAGGAAGCGTGCATGTGATGTATCACAGGAAACCCTCTGAAAACCCTTTGGTTTCTGTCAATGAGCAACAAACCAAAACTTGCGTTGTAGTTGTTTGAATATTGTATTGAAATTGTTATGAAAAAAAGGAAGTATGTAAAGGACAATTTCAAGAATAATGAACCTTTTTGTGACTTTAGCACACTAAACAAGAAATAGCAGCTGATCGACCACATACTTGACATGTCTGTGTGAACTAATACAGGTCATATCCTCTTATTAAATCCACAGCAGATTCACAGTGGCAGCTTTCATACATTTTCTTGATTGTCTTTGTGAGGCCACGACAGCTTCTTGGTGCTCCATCCGGAGAAGGATCTTCTGTGGATCTTCCAGCCCACTGTGGGAGCTCCATCTCTGGGTTTTCTAATACTGTGAAGTCCCCCTTCGCTGGAGGGCCGCAGGGAGGTGAAGGCCTTGCTGATCCAGTTGTTCTTCGCTCCCTGAAGATCGTTGGCCAGGGTTCCTTTTTGGTGCTCCAGCTCCTGGATCTTGCACTTAGCCTCCACCATCTGGAGTTTAGTCTTGGCCAACTCCTGTTCATGCTCCCTGATCTGGGCCCTGAGGGACTCCTTCTCCTGGTCGTCTCTCCTCTGCCCTGCATCTTTGGAAGCGTCGTCGTCCTCCCCTCGGCTCGGTTCGGCCGTCCCGCGGCCTTCTACCGCCGCCGCCTCGCTTGGAGACTTCCGAACTGCGGCAGATAGTTCCTCCGATTCCACGGCACGTCGGCAGCGCGAGCAAGCCTTCACTGCACTCTTCAAAGGTGGAGCATAAGAGCAGAGGAAGAATGCAAGACGTCAAGCCTTATCTTTTCTTAAAGGTAAACACAGATATCAACCCGAAAGAGAAAGTAGAGAAGGGATTGTTATATGATCTCCTACAACATGGTGTTTGACTGCAAACACGGCGGAGAATGAGAGGAGGGCACCATTCGAACCTTGAGTGCATCCAACTCTTCTCTGTGGGCGGCTTGCTGCTTCTCCACCTGCTTTGTCAGCTGAGAGCAGATCTGAGCAGAAGAACGTGTTTTATTAGTATATCCCCCTCATGAAGAACATGGCCTTTACCGACTGCAGTCATTGAATCTCTCTCTACCTGTTTGTAGTCGGCGATAATACCAGACGACCTGCTGACTTCGTGCTCAGCCTTCTCCAGCTCCCTCCGAAACACTTCCTTTGACTGTGAGAAGAGATGAAGTGCTTTTACTCGTGCACGTCAATCCTTACGAAGGCGCCGTGATCGCTGCCAGGTGCTCTTACCACGGCAGCTTCCTCCTCTTTCCCAATTTTCTCCTCTTCCGTAGCCTGTAGTAGATGTCTGGTCTGAAAGAGTTCTTTGGTGAGCTCGTCCACTCGGTCCTCTGCCTGCAAACACACATGGCTCGGTTAAAAAGAACAGTATTGTGCTTCATGGGATCATTTCGCGTTAAAGGCTAGATTCAGAATGCTGTGTGTCCGTTCTCCAAAATGTCTTGCATTGTTTTCGTTCTCACAAGTATGAACCAGTTAAAGTCCATCTTGCCTTTCTTGCCTCTTCAACATGAGTACGGAAACAACCGTCAGAAACGTTTGAACCTAGAACCATTTCACAATGTTAAAATAACATTGTTTTCTTTCCATTTCTTTAGAAAACTTGGAGTCGTGCTTTGCGCTGCCGGTCTGTTTATGGGAGAGTGAAGACTGCTCCCGGTTGCTATTCTAATGCTCTGAAGGTTTCACTGGGGTTACAGTCTGAATGCCCCTCGGAGAGGCTGAGTAATGACCTTTCGCAGGTGATTATGCTTTTTCTAAAATAAACCCTTTTACCCTTTTGCTGCAGGGCGGTAGCTAATCATACCTTGTCCAGAGCGCTCCTCAAAGCAACCTTGCTGCTGATCAATCTGTGAGCAAGGTTGTCATTCTCCTGCTCCAGGCGGAGGCCGGCCTGCTGAAGCCGATGGTTCTCCTTCTGCAACAACCGCACAGAAGAACTCGATCACAACGTGGACATCAGTGAAGCTACTCAAACGTATCGGCTTTTGAAAGGAGTGGAAGATTTCTGACCATGTATTTATCCAAAGAATCATCATCATTCATTAACTGAAGCCGGCTTTCTCCCAGTTTATCCTCAATGGCCGGGATCTGAAGGGAGAGAGTCAAAGCTCATGAAATACAGCCATGTCATATTTGACTGAAGTGGAAGAAATATCCATAATAAACAATCAAAAGTCCACTTCTTCTATCTCAGGTGTCAGATCTGTCACACAGAGGAATATGTTGTGTGAGTGAGTGTGAATATAGGTCCGGTTTCACCCACCAGGCAGGCCAAGATCTCGTCTTCGCTCATCTGTTCCATGACGTGGGAATCGTACGCCATAATCGCGGACACCTCTTCCATCATCCTGCCCTCACTGACCTGGAGCTTCCCACACTCACACAAACAATCACAGCCCTTTGCAGGGAGCTGCCAATTCCAACCAGATAGAATTAGCTAAATCCATCAGCCGTGTTTTGATCACGCTGGCAGTCGAGAGAATCAAGAGACGTAAAGTCCAGAAAGATCGTCTTGTTTTTACTTATTTAATGATGCAGGTAAGAAGCCGAAGAGCGTGAACAGGAAATAGAGTCCAAGTCGTCCCGGCGCAGATAAGCTGTGCTCACAGTCCAAAGGTGAATAACTGACAGAGATCCCACAGCCGAAACGCGGCTACGCTTAAATCACACAGACTGCTACTGTGCTGCAGTCAGATTATCTTATAGGCGGTGTCAGGTGAAGGAGACGGGAGGAGACGGGTGAACGGGCAGCAACAGGTTCAACAGGGTTTATGCGAGTGTGTGTGTGTGTGTGTGAGAGAACGGGTGCTTTGGACACACCCATTACAGCCCTCACCTCACCTGTCATCTCCCTCACACACAGACACACACACAACAAACACCTGTGTACGATCAAACCTCCTGCCAATAAATCCACTAACTGGTTTGATTCCAAAAATATATTTTTTGGGGGGGTGAGTGGTGGCGTGTGGGTCGTTTCAATTAAGTTAAATAATCCCTGTTGATTCATTTGTTTCTATAGTTCATAGTGTACCAGCTGGCAGCCGTGAGAACCTGCCGGACTGGTTCCCAAAGTATTTGGAAAATTTCTCTCCGAGGTGTCGGCAAGCCTGACTATTGGGCCTATTATTGTCCCGGTCCGACGGCAAACAGGTACAACAGGTAAAAGGATGGAGTATCAAAGCTTGACTATGCAATAACAAAGGGCCTCTCTCTCTCACACACACACTTCGTAAAATCTCTTACTTTAGTTTTTTCGATCACTTGATTTCATGTTTCCCACTCTCCTTTTGGAGCGCTGACGTGTAGCGATACTTTTCACTTCCTTCTTTGTATTGGCTTGCGTTTTAAGTTCCGTCCCTCTGCGGTTCTTCAACACTTCCCGCTATATTTAGGTGCTTTTTAGAGAAACTGTGATTTCAACATCATGTGCATCTTGAGTCAGTGAGAAAAGAAAAAAAAAAAAAAACTCCAGACAGATAAACATTTATTCCTTTTGCAATCAAAAAGGAACATTTTGTGAAACCAGGTGGATTTTTTGCACTGAGTCAGGGAATACCGAAACCGCTTCTCGTTTCACAGAGAAAAATCTGAAAAATACCATTTTTCAACAGGAACCTTAAAGTAACAGTTTAGTTCTGACACAGTAACGGTGATCTTTGTAATGCAACAAACTGGTCGTCACGAAATCTAAACTCATTTTACCAAACTATAGAGACCACATTTATCGAGTGAGTATATTGGCTAAATGGCAGAGAACACCAATGCCGAGTGGACGTCTAAATCAACAAAAAAGCGGGAAGTGTTTTACAAACAGAATTCAGCACATTAATGACAAGAGGATGCAAGGTGAGGGACGTTAGATGTGGTAATAAAGCCCACAGCTCACTGGAAACAACGCGGTGCTGAGAACGCAGAATTAATCTGATCTTGCATATATATATATATATATATATATATATTTAGAAATCTCTTTATATATGGATATTCTTCTCACTGTCATAGTAAATATTCTCTTTTAATTTATATTGTATTCTTTTGGGCTAAATGTAAGGACAATTCTAAAGTGCGTTTCCAGGTTAAAATGTTCATTTCTTTTCTCTCCCTATTGTATTACTCTGTTGTATTATAACTAGCAGAAATACGGAGGAAAATCCAGATAAAATAATAACTGAAGAGTATGAAAAACTTACATTTGGTACAAATACACTTAAATCCTGACATACCTCAAAAACTATAACACTCCTTGAAAATACATAGAAATGGGTATTTAATGTGGAATAACAATGCATCTTGATACTGTATAGCAGATATAATGACCTATAAGATACAAAACTTAAGCTTCAAGATCAACACAGTACACAATGTGCGTGTCTTCTTCCCTCGGAACAGCCTTCATTACTTTCTGATCATCTCAATGTGCAGACGGTAAGAAGTTAAATACGTCACCTTGGAAGACACCAAAAAACCCACAACTTCCTTTTATTATTCAAGCTTTCGTTACAATTGACAAGAAGTAAAAACAAGCCAAATCAGTTATTCTAGCATACTTTTGTTTTCTAGGAAAACTAGACTCGGCAATATGCACAGAATTATTAGTTCCTATAGTTAGCAAACAACAACACCTAATAGAAAATACTGTTAGCCCTTGTGTACAGTAAGCAGGATGGGTGTTCCTCGGTGCATTGACCCTGCAGGTAACACGGGCACAGAGAGCGGGGAACGATGCGGGTTAGAATAAAAAGAAACCAACAAAAACACAATGGGAGCCTCCATTATCACCTCCCAGCTACCGTGTATTCAAAAAGCCATGGCGAAAAAAAAGATGGTTCCCCAGAAAGATCGAGGCGGATGAGAGGATTTAGACTTAAAACTCTTATGTTAAAGGTTTTATAAACGGTAAATTATTCATCAGTGGTTGGGATGTTTGTGATGCTGGACCCGCTAAAATCAAATCGATGACTGAGGTGTCAGTTTGTGATCAGAATAATAGGGTAGCACATCTTTCTATCATTTCACCTGATAAAAGTAAAAAAATCCAGATAGGCGCAACATCAGTTAATGTCTTGGAACTTTGAATTGTAATTAGTGCAATTTATCAATAATAGCATTTGGAGCGGAGCAGAAAATGTAATAATGCTTTTCTTTACGAGTCAGTAATATTAATAATTACTTCATAATACTTACAACTAATATATTTATATAATACTACTAATTAACCGTAGTCAATTTATTTGTTCTTTTCATAACACTTCTACATTTCCAATGATTAGAACTAAATTACAGAGTCATATCCACAAACTCACTGAATTTGATAAGCATTTAATGAGAAGTTTAAGTCATTAAAATGGAAAGTTAATTAAAGTTTGCCTCCCCTATACAGCACCAAGACAAGAGAAAGTACACCAGGCTGTGTCTCAGTGTCCCTGGGGACCCGTCTTCACAGTACTGTACACGCTCGCACGTCTCCCTGAGCACTTCAACTGCGTCTTGAATGATGCACCCACATTTTATTCTCAATGATTTGGCCTTGGAACTAAATGAGATTGTACCACTTCCCCGCTGATCCAACCGGGGTTTATGCCACTTTATGCCCCTCTCTGCAGCTCCCAGGGTCCGGTCCCAGGATGCTTTGCCCACACAGGAGCTCCGTCCCTGGGCTCGTGAACGTTTATGGATTAACCCCCGAGGACGAATCAGTCTGGAATCAATGGCAGCATTTAGCATGTTCCAAAATCTGGGAATGCGTGTAACTGTGCTGCATCGAAAACCCATAACCTGAATTTACTCCCAGACAATAGGGCAGGTGCTAGTTGTCAGGTGTGTGTGTTTCTTTCGGGTGCAGCAGAGGTCAGACCTGGGTGCTGTAGGGACGTGGTGGAGGAGGAAATGCGTCCGTGCCACTGAAGTAGCTCAGAGGGGTGGCGCCCTGTGGCTTGGCGGGCGGCGGCAGAGAGACGCACGGGTTCTCGTAGTAGGTGTGGAAGCCCAGCCGCTCGTCTCCGTTGCGCAGGTCGTCTGAGAGTCCCGGGCGGAGCGAGTACGGCGAACAGGTGGGGCAGTGGCTGTGGTGGGAACCCGAGTCCAGCTGATCCAGAGAGATGGGGGCGATGGCCGCGCCGTCCATGGCGAGCGCGTTGCAGGCGTCGCAGGGAAAGTGTGAGAGAGGGTCCGCTCCCGCCACGGAGCCCGCGTCCTCCTCAGAGTCATTCTTCTTACAGCAGTAATACTGCAGAGAGCAGACAGGGACATCGGTGAAGTTGTGCCAGAAAGACCGCGCGATACCGCTCATGATTGGATGGCTCAGCTCACCTTTTTTAAAAAGGTCATTTAAGATAAAAACTTGTTTTTAAGGCCATGCTCGGAAAAACCCTCTTGGACGAAAACATTTAAAACACACACGGTGGTACCTGCAGTCTACAGTAGCAGAGCACTGCTACAATGCACAGCAGTATCACTCCGGCGAGGATTCCTCCGGATATAACAACAGTTCCTGCTGACATTCGACCGGCTCTCCATCAAACCCTTCAGAGCGAGAATGACAGATGGAAAGTTTGAAGGAGGAGAGTGAGGGGAATAAAAAAAAAGTGTGAATGAGCTAATTAGACATCTGGATTCCGGTAGTGTTGGTGGAGATTTGACTTCATTTCTTTGCAGAATATTCAGCATACTCACGTCAAACAAAGGTTTCTATACTGCCTGCAAAGGAAACCAATGCAGGCTGAATTAGTGTATTCATGTAACATAGTGATGTAACCTCAACTGATGAAACATGTTGTAAGTTATCATGACGCTGTTATAAGACAGCTGGGGATGTTTTAGGCCTCACAGATACAGAAAAAAATCTCCATTAATTTACAGAATCCCAAAGACTCCAAAACACTTTCCTAATTTGGGCACTGATGAAGGTATAAGATTTACCGTCCAAATCGTTCACTTTGAAGTGAACACATCAAACATGGTCCCAAGATGTTGAAAGAAAACATAAAATCCATGCAACATGAATGAGAGAATAAAACCCTGAAATGCCAAATGACATCACACAAATTGTGTAGGAAAAGATGGTTTATCGTTAAAAGCAAAAAGTGTCCACGGAATAAAACAATCATCACAACTTCCCATTCCGATTTAACCTTCCTCACATTGATACGTCACATTATATATTTCCATTTCGTTTTAGCTTTAAACTGGCACTTTAAAACTGGCACATTTCTGGAATCAGAAATGGAATAATTGTTTACCGAACAGAGAATTGGCGCCACCTTGGGATAGAAAATGTCAATTCCAGTACAAACACCCTTAAAGTGATACAGACACCAATGGAGTACTTCATTCACCACCCACCATGTGAATGGAAGCCGCGTGTCGCCCTCTAACTAGTTAATAAATCACCACGCGGCACGAGGACGCTTCACCGTTGACAAGCGTTCATTAACAGCTTCTCTTCACAGCTTCTCTCAAAATGTTATTAAAAGTCGCAGCGCGTCTGGATGGTGTCAACCAACCACTATAAATAAGTAACACTGCGAAGTGGATGCTGAAAATCTCCCCGTCTTTCCAAGGCATTGACATCCAAGCTATGAGGGACGAGAGGGACACTTACATTAGAAGACAGCGGGAGACGCAAAGATGGGAGTGGGAGGACGTTGGAAACCGGGACCCGTCCCGTGGAGCCTCACAGCCTCCGCTCACTGAAACTCAAGCAGAACAGAAAGAGGCTTCAGTCAAGAACAACATTAGAGCAATAAAGGGCTGCTGCAGCTGATCATCACTTTAATATAAACTCAATTCATTTTTATCTGCTTTTATTTGAATTAAAATGAGACAACTGTATTTCATTTAGCCCGGTCGTTTATTTCAGTTTATGAAGACACTAATTGATTAAGAAATGCAGAAAATAATTACTGGGGACTGTTACCAGTCGCAGAAGCCTAATGTTCTTCAAACTGCGTATTTAGTGTGATCAACAGTTCAAGTATTCTATTTATAATTATATGAGCAGGACAGAATCAGCAAATCCTCATATTTGAGAAGCCTGAAGCATATAATTAGGTTATTATAAAAAATGTCCAATCAACCAACCAGTTGTTTCAGCACTAGATAATATCTCTCCCCACTGCTTCATATTGCAGGGAGGCTGCGCTCACAAGAAGATCCATTATTATACCCTTTGTATCGTATCGGTAAGTGTGACTGAATTCAGTCCCTCACCACGTAGATGGTTCGGCATGCTGAATGCAGCAGCACCTACTGAGCACGCTTCCCACATGGCCGGTAGCTGCACATGTGCAGGACAGATTCAGCACACTAAATTGGTTATGTTCTGATTGACCGTCTGATCCAAAAGCACATCTCAAAGTTGCATGAATTATCATCACAAACCGATATTGAAACATCAATTAAACAACAGCGTAAAGACGTATGTAGACAACTCATGAACTCATAAATGTAACTTGGTTTCAGCAAACGTTTATTCTGTAGTGCAAGTGTGTAATCTTAGAGCAATAGCTCTAATTGGCAGTCTCAGCGAAAAGGGTGTAAAATAAAAAAAGTAAGAGTTTGCACACATAATTATCTCCTTTGCACGTACTGTTGCCTCAAATAGACCTTATGAACAGAACGCAATACATTAACTGTGTGATAGAACTGGTGTGCGAATGCCTTGATTCATTCTTTACTGTCATCAATGTTACAATACAATAAGATAGAAGTACTTTTCGCACAAGGATATAAAAGACCTGATTTTAACAATTTAGATCAATGTGTAAAAGGTTAATAGTTCATGCCAAACTATTCATTTCAAGCTATTACAATAATTTCAATCCCTTTATTTATCTACAGTTGAAGTTGAAGAAATGGCTTCTTTCTCATTCTGGGCAAATGTACTTTTCTAAAAGCTATGAGCACTCAAGGCAATAATTTGCAGTGACTTCTGATTGTATTGCCTCGTGAAATGGTTTGAACATTCTGACACTTGTTGTATTGTCAAAACTGCCAAATCTCATCTAAGAAAATGCTAGTTTAGTGTTTGCTCTGCTGACTGTGGCGCCGCGTGTTCCCAACCTACACGTGAATCCCTCGGTCTCGTTTCTTTTGTCTTTCTGACTGAATGAAAATTAAAATACATACATAAGTGGAGTGGGTTGTGCCTCTTGAACATTGTAATAAGATGATAAATATAACATTTAACATTCAATGCACATTCATCTCAGACTCATTTCAACACAATGAAGAGGGTGAAATGCGTGTTTTGAAATGAGCCTGTGAGCCTCCTTGCAGACAGCTCACTCGGTGCAGTATCTTCCATTGCGTCATCGTACTAAATTATATACACACACCACGGACCACACTAATGTCGTTAAAAGCGATGTGAAGGCTCTCTTGCTATACCCGTTTCTCCATCTCTTCCCTCCAGCTCACTATCCTCCGTCTTTTCAGTCCTTTTATCTGTCGTTTACTCTCAAATCCTCCTCCTCCACCACACTTTATGCTTTCATTTCACTTGGCTTTCAGAGCTTGAGAGGACTGTTGAATTGAGCAAATCCATGCAGAAACAATGATGCAGATCGACCCACACGAAGCAAAGGGAAGTGATTTGGACAAGCAACCGTATTGTGATGGAAAGGAAGCGTTTAAGTAAACCATCAGATTAGAGAGTTTCCAACAGACTTGAGAGAAAAAGACGCCAAGGGACAGAAGAAAACAGGATTTTTCTCCTGGATTCAACTCTAATGACATCGGAGTATCACAACGCACGCAGTTCATGTCTGAATCTCAGTGGGTTCAGAGCCTTCAGTATCAACCGGGAATCACAATCACACACACACACACACACACACAATCACAATCACACACACACACACACACACACACACACACACACACACACACACACACACACACACACACACAACTTCGATCCTAGAACAGACCTGTGACAGCTTGCTACATGCATTACCTCACTACTGGTTTAAATCATGCACATAACTTTAACACTTGGATTGGAAAAGGAAAAAATAAATAAATGGAGGACTACGACTAACAAATAGTATTTGGTGAAAAGAATCCAATCAGAGATGCAAACACTGTGCAGGCTTCACCACCTAAGAGGGAGCTGGAGTTAATGTTAATTAATTGATCTTAGAAATTTAATTAAATTGTTGAGAGTTGTGGGAAGGTTTTAAAATAAAAGGAAGCAAACTTGGGTTTTTAAAAAAGAACACAATTAACAGATTTAAAGAGAAGAACAGCTGCTCTTCATTTACAACGATTTGTCCCGAGAAAAACCGATGAAAGAAAACATTAATGGAAATAAACTCATGGCCATAACTTACTCTTATCCAGGCCTTTGAGGATATCATGGAGAGAAAACTACCAACAACTTTGTTTATCCTTTTATGTAAAAGTGATGAAACACTGTTTATCATACTGAACATTAGGTTTGAGACCGTTACAGCTTTCTCGCACTTTTTTTAATCAAAATGAGAATATTTATTAATATTGTGATTGTCAAATGTGTCTTTTCCATCTCTTCTCTTTCTTTCACATAAAACACACTCAAACAACACAGTTATACCTTCCACATCATGAGCTAGTTTTGACCTTCGTAATATTGGAAACGTCGAGAGGTTTCACACTCAACGTGCAGGACTATTCTTAGCAGTTCCATCGTCTCTTGACAGTGAAAAGCAGCAGATGAGAGGCAGCCGAGAGAGGTGTCATATTTTAATTTGTTTTCTCTGTGGGAAATGAAATAATCCTCCCAGTCAGCTAAACGCGGACGCCCAGAAACTCAGAAGTGTGTGTGGGTGAACAACCCGCTTACACACACACACACACACATCCCTAATCAAAGGTTGGAGAGGTAAAACGCTTTCCTCTCAAGTTTCACGTGGGTCGATGATTTAGCGTTTTGAAATCAAGAGTTTTCTCTCCCGTGTGATTCCCAGGTGAACCACCGGCAGATAAGCTTTGAATTTAATAGTTTGAAATATTGGGAGATTTGGTCATTTGCTTACCTGTAGATAGTTAGTGAATACTGAAACCACTCGTATATGTTCGATATAAAGTAATCAGCGCCCAAATCCATCAACTTGTTTAAGTCTCAATATGCTTTTTAAGAGCACGTTTATTAGTACACAGACTAACATTTACAGCAGAGGAGGATGTGTGTGTGTCCACACAAAAGTACACCATCACTTTTTACTATTCAATGGGGCACCCTTGATTATTTGCGTCCGCTGGGGTCCATCAAATAGCGCAAGTTGGACAACGTATCATAAATAAAAATAATTACTGCAAATTAAGGCCTGAGCAATAGAAACGTAGTTTAAATTCTATTTTAAAGATATATGGAATACAGCATTAAAATCTGTTTCTTTGCAAAAGATGTAGCTATTGTGAACCAATTTTTTTATTTTTCTCTCAACCCAACGTCTACGTACATCTGAATGGATTCGGGGAAAAACACAAACCAGAGGTTTGAAAAGCTTAATTCATTTTACATTTAGAAGTGAACTTTTTGGGGCGGGGTGATCATAGAATGGAATCCATCCATCATCAGAGCCGCGTATCCATCATACACTACTTTATTCAACATGGTTTTTCAATGAAAGAATGAAGTCCTACTCACAAATGGATTAGGTCAAAAATGTAATGGTTTGAGTTTGTATTAAAAATGTGTGCCTGGTTATGACAAAACAAAGTATTGTTTGACAAGGTAAATACAGTTGAATTACCCCCAAACCTCCAGTTTATTCCCATCAATTCCCGTATATTCCCATGGAAAGTTTCCAATTCTCCTGGAATTTTGCAACATAATTATGAAAGCTGAAACCCAGTTAAGCTCCAGAAGACATTATCCAAGGACTGAGTCATTATGTGGCTGAGTTTAAATCCATTTCAGGAAAGAAAAGAAAAGAAAGAAGAGAAGCTGGCGGCTGATTTCACGACGGGGCCGACATGGGAAACAGCCCTCACTTGAGTGAGCGGGAGATGAGCGAGTGGGTAGCAGAACCCAAGCGGCTCCTTGATGTATCTCCATTCTTAAATAACGATATGGATATTTCGTTCAGGTGGCCTCCAACTGGATTTCCCCAGCGAGGCCCTGCAATTTTAAAGCCCTTGGGCTTAAATTATTCAGGTATCATTCCTTTAACAATATTTTTCCATCACAGGGCAATTCAGCCAGGTAGTAAAATCTGGACTTTTCTGCCTCGTCTGTCTCTGAAAGCACTCATCTGCCAGTGTGTGTGGGGGGGGGGGGGGGGGGGGGACACATCCACATCTAGGACAGAGACACACGGCTCGAGCAGGAAGGAACAAAGACAGCGAGGAGTAGGAAATAAAAGGGGGAGGAAAGAGGATGATTTCTAATAGTCTTTTTCCATTTGACCAATGACACACACACACACACACACACACTCTCTCACTCACTCTCGCTCTGGTCTCCCCTTTTGTGTTGTCACAATTGCCTCCTTTGCTCTGGACCATTTGTACTACGTAAGACACTTGATCGGTGAACTCAGGGGTAAGTTCGGTGCAGATAAAGTTGGAACCACTGAAATCCAAATGAGCTGCAGAGACTAAAAGCTTCGTTCGCCCCAAACAAAATCCGCGAGGTGCACGGCGGAAATCAGACACACATCACAAAAAACATTTGGTGTATCTAGAAATAAATTGCGAATAAGCAGACAGACCCCTTACCTACAGAAGTCACCATGTGGGGGACAACGTCATCTACTGTGCAGCAAAAAAAACCTGGGGAAGCAAAAAAAAAAGACATGACATCAGTTCTAAACGGGATGCGAAGAGACGCCTCAGATACGGCAGATGAGACCTTCTGGTTTGTTTGTGGGCCACGTCAGTCTTTAGTCACAGAATATAATTCAGCAATTAACTGGCTATAAGCAAATATCACCCGTGTCGAGGGACCACCTCATGGGTCATCACGGCGAAGGTGCAGGCTTAGTTTGGTGCAACACACATTTGTGACATCTAGAGATATTGTGTGTGTGTGTGTGTGTATATATATATATATATATATATATATATATATATATATATATATATATATATAGCACAATAAATCCGAATAAGTGGACAACAATACAGGAAAAAATACAGGTTGTATGTTCTGTAATTCCAACAAACTCTAGAAATAAATGCTGCATATGATTTGTCTTTGCACTACAGAGTAATGGAATGTATTTAGTTTTTACAAAGAGGAATGAAATGGAAGATAAAACGAGCCGGAATGTCCTTACCTGTCCAAGTTATGAAACCAATTCAGGACACACGATTGAAAGTAACCATCAACAGTAGAAACCACCGCTGAACGAGATCAAATCGTGAACGTTTTTCTGATACCGAGTGGGCGGCTGGTGGGGGGGTCAACATCTAGCAGCTGTTACATCACTGATTAGCGTCCTTTCCACCCAAGTAAGCGGATCAATTGACACGCGGAGCCGTTAAGTGGCGCGCGCAGGATCGCAGCCTTACCTTTGGGACTGAAGCAAACATCACAACCTGTTAGAGAGCGCGTTCCCGTGTTATCTCCCTCCTCCCCGCGCGGCCGCTGCAGGGTCGTGCGCGTTTTCTGCACACAATAAAGTCCGGTCATTTAATTTGGACTCTCGGAGCCCACCCGCGCGCACTCTACAACCGGAACCATCGCGTCATCATCTGCCGTCGGTTACCCCCCAACAACCCCACCACCACCACCACCACCTGCGCCTCCCCGGGGTTCACTCACAGCGACGCGCCACTGATGTCCTGTGGGACATTTCGTGGCATTCTCCGCCTTTGGAAAGCGACGGAGACGGATGAGACCAGGCGGTGTCCGGTGACCGAGTTTCACCGCGCGTCCTAGGCGAGCCGGAGGGGGGGGGCGGTGCTGCCGCCGGTCCCGGAGGGGCGGGGTGAGAAGAGCAGCGGTGGCAGCGACATGGGCGTTTTTACACCGTGTGATATCACTTTACCGGGAGGGTGGGGGTGTGGACACGGGGGCCGTCACCACCCTGAGAGCAGTGCGTAAAGCTGGAGGAGGAGGACCACGCGGCCTTGGTTGAGGGACATTTCCAAATTCACATCCAAAGCCTTGATCTCTCTGCAGCCCTTACGGGAAACTTGCAAGAGCCACGTGTCTCCGGAAGGTTCACGAGGTCGAACGAAACAGGGGCCAAATCTCACAAGGCAATTTCATGGAAATCTTTATTTTTGTAAGGCAAGCATTATCGACCTATCTATATAATGGAGAGAAGTTGGGAAATGAGCTACTTTAAAACCTCTGTAAAATTTTATTTCACCTTCATTTTGTAAAAGGTTAGTTTAAGAAACTCCAATGCATATGACGCTTTCCAATGGCTTAAAAGGTCACAGTTGAGAGGTTTAATGATATTTTAATGATACATTAAACAAAACAAAAAAACTTTTGGGTGCCACTGTGAAAAATCTAATCAGACACTTTGGAGTATGACTTCAAAGACCCCATGTGACCATAAAGACTTTATTACTCTCATATACATCAAGACTTTGAAAAGCAAAGGAACTGGTGAGCTTATATATTAATGGCTAGTGGGGGCCTTGTTTTGGAGAACCACTTATCCAAACTTATTCACACTAGACACTGTGCATCCAGTCCCTGAGCGACACAACATGGGTCCCAAAGTGATGATCGGGTCGAAGTGTCCCTGAGCAAGACACCTAACCCCTAATTGGTCCCCGGGCAAAATGTAAAAATCCATCGGTTAAAAATGTAATGTAAGTCGCTTTGGATAAAAGCGTCAGCTAAATGACCTGTAATGTAATGATGGAGTGCAGCAGTCGCCGTGACGCAAAAGCTCACAAAAAAACGGACGCTTGATGATCTGACGTTTGGCGGTCAGTCAATGGGGATCCCCGCTCACTGAAACACGACATGTGCACATAACGTACTTGATAAATATGTCCCATAGATCTCTAAAGCTGGCACTCAACGGGGAAATTCCTTCATCGCGCATTCAGCAGCCAAGTGGGAAGTCAATCTGTTATACAGACGGAGAATCCTTATGTTTTCGTTAAGGTTGGCCAATGGCCACTTGGCAGTGAAATCCAGTTACTTGTTAATGCTTTTTGTAAAGTCCTTACGGTACATTCTAAAGGATCCCTGCTAAGAAACTGGTATTAGAGAAGAAAATATGCATTGAGGGTAAAGTTGAAGGTTTTTCAAGCCACTCTTCTGCTGTTCAGACAGTAAACATCCATCTAAGGTCTAAGGGACAGAGACGTGGGGTCTGCCGGCTCGCAAAATGCTCCTCCAGTTGAATCCCAGGGGACAGATTGGGTGAGTCCGTGCAGCCGTCCGTGGTGCTGAGGTTCAGTAAGAGAAGGTGACAATCGTGTAACTAAAGGCTTCTTTTAGACGGCGTAGCGACCAATCCTCCGCTTTCTAATTGCCTTAAGCAACCTGCTCCTGCAAACAAGATCCATCTTGATAATACCCACATATAATAAGATTCAGCCTGGCTACAGCCCCCCCCAGAGTAGAGGAGCTCATCTGCTTTGCATTTCGCTGCCTAGGTGTGTCTGCGGCTAAGTCAAGCTAGCTTTGTAGCAGGGGGCTGATGAAGGTAAGCCAGTGGGGAGTTCTGAGATTACTGCTCAAATTGAATGAAGGAGTCGACATATTACAGCGGCTTAGACGATGCACCCCACTGCATGGATTCATTCAAAACCAGCACAATGTTATACACGACACACACACACACACACACACACACACACACACACACACACACACACACACACACACACACACACACACACACACACACACACACACACACACACACACCATGCTTCAAACTGGGCCAGCACCCCCCCTTTTCCTCCATTTACCTTTCCTATTATTTTCTCCCGGCGACGCACAAACACAAGGGCTCACAGCCACTCAGCAAAGCCTCGTGACTCGAGTGCCTAAAGGCTTGGCAGGGGTTCACGGATGAAATTAGAAGGACAACGGAGATGACAAAAAAATGTGGTGGAGGAAAGTTTACACTGTGAGAGTGTTTGTGTGATGAACCAATCCAATCTTGTCTGATTCATGGGGAAGCTGGTCCGCATGCATTTGTAACACACTGCTTCTCTGTGTCTTCATGTTTTCGACCGAGTACACGCTCAGAGTGCGACTGAGAAAAGAACGGCTTCTTGCAGGACCACCAGTTTGCGTCGAGAGCACATTAACTGGCAATGCTGCTTGTGACACGTTTGCATACTTCAAAAGCCCAAATTGTGACTTCAGGCTTTCTGATGTACTGCAGCTCATCGGCCGACAACAGGGGAGGAAGGCGAATTCAACTTTTCCTCAAAAGCACAAATAACAGCAGTGTTCTTTTTTTTATTTTTGAAAACATTCATCAGCCTTTTTATATAATATAGGCTGTGGTGATAAAAAGGATGATTGCGTTTGTTTAGCCATCCCTGATTGGGTCCACACTGAAATATCTAAATTCATCCTTCCAAGAGGATTAGAAGTATGAGCTATGCAGCGTTACATGAATCACTTTGTAGAGAAAGGGTTGAGGAATATCCAATCAAGTTAAAGTTGGATTTGATCCAATACTATAAAAGTAATCTATCCTCCACATCTGTATTTGGGTTTATTACAGTTTGCATGGCGACTTTACCAATCTGTTCAAAGTTCATCCTCAGAGCCGCTAGCATGGCCACGCACCTTTTGAAAGTTATATTAAGAAAATCCATTTCCCCAAAACAAGTATTTCTTTAAATACGAGGTGGTGCACGTGTCTCACTGTGAGCACAGGATGAACGATGAAAGCTTTTTCTCATCAGCAACGGGCCAAATTGTCTGCAGCGATCCAGTGAGGAACAGCGACGGGGACGTTATAGCGACAGTAAATCTTGTTGAACTCTTGAAGCCAGCAGCGGATTTACTCCGCATTAAACCGTCCTATAAAACACCTCTACAGAAGGAAGATTAAAACTAATGGAAACAGAAAAAAAGAGGCTGCAACTCTGAAGTAACTCCACTGAAGACGGCCGAGTAGCCGCTACAGCAGGTTTGAAAGAGCTCGTCACCACCCTCTCAAATTGCAAAACAGTGTTTTATTCTCGCCTAAACACTCGTGTGACATCCATTTCCTCAGAGTAGCAGTGTGTTTAAGCGTAAGGGTTTTCCTCTATATAAAAGGTGGTTTAGGATCACAGTACACACACTTTAGTTGAAGTATACTGGTAGTGCAAGAAGAACCGAAGCTTTCATGAAGCTAAAACACACATAATTCCTTATGTACTGTGGGCCAAGTGTCACATGTTTAATATGTTGTACCCTCCACAGAGCTCAGACAGCAATAATCTGAAAGTGAAATTGGTTTGTCACCCCCTTGAAATCTCTGTGGGACTTTGCAGTAGTGTAAATGTACATACTGTAGGCCTTGCAAGTTTTTGAGTATAACGCATTATCAAGAACTGGAAAGGTCGCACTGCAATCTATCCCACAGGATGAAATTTAATTCATTTTTTTATATTGTGCTCCCTTAAAAATGTCTCCTGTCCTGTTATTGATGCCATAAAACTCTTATGTATTACTGTGCATTGATAACATGCTGCTACTTCCTTACAGCCTTCATCTCTTAACAAAAGCACTGTATTCAAATGTCACCCTCATAACTAACATTAATTCCAGATCTGAAACCCTGAAGAAGACTTGAGACTCAAAAAGAAAAAGAAATCACAGAGTGTGTGAACCTGATCCCAACTTTAAACCAGGTATCTCCGCTAACTTACTCATAACTAGAATAGTTTAGCTAAAGGGAGACATTAGAAAATAAACCCTGTAGCCTGGTCCCAAAATGTGGTGGAAACCCCCCCCCCCCCAAAAAGCATAGGTCGTTATGGTTTTGTATCAAATAGTCAAAACAATTTGGGGATCATATACCTTCGGTCATACAGCGGACCTGCAGTAACAACAACGCGTTTAATTGCGGACAGATTTGTTTGCCACCAATCGTGCAGGTCGCACGATTACCATTTTGTGCGAGGCTACCGCAGGTGAAAGCCTTGCGACGGTGTGAGGATTCCCCGCGGGCGAATTACTCGATTATGTTAACACGCTCTGCTGTGCTGGGCACCGGATTGGTTTTTGAATCACATTCAACAGAGCAGAGTGTCGCCAGCCACGAGTCCTGCACAGTATCGCCTGCAACAACCTCTTCCTCGGGGAGATGAAGGTAAAGAGCCTGGGAGTATCTGAATGAACCATTTTACACATAAATGAAACCTGTAGCGATGAAAGAGCTGACGCAATACTGAGTCACCATCATGCAAACACTTCAGACCTTGAAAAGAAATACGTGCTTGATTTGAGCCCAGTGGATCCCAGCAATACTAGTTTGTATGTTAAAGTATCAGATAAACTGGCGATGACAAAAAATATATATTGTAAATTGCTTTCACCTTTAGTCTGAGCCTTTAAGAGAAAATCAATTGAAATACATCTAAATAAACCAAAATTACAGACCTAACATTTGACAGGTTTGGGTAGAGTCAAGTATGTTTTCTGCAGTCAGCACATTGCTTCATTCGGTCAATCATTGATTTATTCTCTTTGCGGTTTCATACTAGGGCATGATGTGGGTCAGCTAATAACGTTAGTGCACAGCAGAGATTGAAATCCTGCATACATTCACTCAAAGACACATCTGGAGTCAAAGCACTCAGCATTTCTGCAGTTTTCACAGTTGATGGGTTTTAAAAAAAGGCATTAAACTTGATTTGCCGCTCCTCAAACAGTGGAAAAGACGGGGATTTATAGATGCAATCGCAGCCAAACCAGAAGAGTGAGATAGAGTAATAGACGGAGCGCTCCCATGCTACCCGTGTTTGAGGAAATAAAATAATTGAGGGTAAAACAGCAAAACAGATCACCACTTGGCTAAAAGAACACCCTATCATCACTAGCGGGCCTTTTGCCTGTGCACACAGTGTGAGTAAAAACTACAACTGAGCCCTGGAGGCAGAGTCCAGGTTCAGAGGGGAGCCAAAGCCATTCCTAACTTTCCTTATCCTTAAGCGACCGTCCCTGAACGTTGCTCAGTGAGAGGCAAAGCACCGCCGTCTGTGTGTGTGTCACAGTCTGAGCAGGAGTTCATTCGACTATCTTGTGGTAGGGAAAGAGGGGCAGGCCTTCAATGAAAGCAGAGATGTCCATGATGGCGACGGCGCCCGCAATCCTGGGTGAGGCGGGCAGGAAGGTGAGCTTGGACACCTCGCCGTAGGTGGAGCAACTTGAATCCTCCTTTTCTTGCTTCTCGTCGCCAGCCTCACAGTCCTTCTCTTCGGCACCGAACCCCACCACCTTGGGGAGACGGGGATGCATTTAATGTGTCACGCTAACGTGAAGGAGAAAACACCTTTTGCGTCTCTCTACACACATAGAGGCATTGCTTACGTGCACGCTGAGTTTGCGGCTGTTCTGTCCTTGATGTTCTTTGAACCAGGAGATGAGCTCAGCTCTGGTCATCTTCTTCAGAGCCTCAATCTAAAAAACACACACACAAGCACTGACGTAAGAGCAGCAAGAGGGCTGAAGGACAAGTGCCCTTCATTTAATATGCAGCCTCTTTATCTCGCTATTATGGTTTCACGGCTCATTTAGCTGATGGTTCAAACAGCGTTTTTCCAACAAGTTTCAAGCAACAGCTTTGCAGAGAAGCTCACTGTGCAGCAGAAAATGGTGGACAAGCCATTTCTAGCTGGTGGAGAAAGTCCAGTGTCTAGTAGATAGAGAGCCAGATATATATTTATATGTAGTCCCTGCAGGTCATCATAAATTAGAGGCCTGACAACACAGAACATGGAATTGCAATACAAAATAAGCAGATATGTTTTATGTAATTAGTGCGGTCTCCTAATTTAATAGGAATACTGTTCCAGTAGTAAGTGGCTCTGATTGAGAAGACTTTCATTCCCCTATTTGGCTGATGGTGTGTGTGTGTGTGTGTGTGTGTGTGTGTGTAGTCCTTACCTCTCTGTTGAGCCTGTCAAACACAAACTGCTGTGTGACCACCTCGGCCCAATTCCTGTCCACCTCCTCCCCCAGGTGTGTGTCCTCACACTCCTTCAGCTTCACCAAAGCAGTCACCTGTACGGAGCACACACACATATTCGTTACACACGCTTTAGACTTGTGGAATAACTAAAAATGCAACAAGCAACTATAAAGATGGCCACACCCACTCACACACACACACACCTGGGTACTGAAGGCCTCCTCAGAAAGTGAGTTGAGCGTCTCTCCAAAAGACGCCAAAAACTCTTCAATCTTTAACTCCACCAGCTCGGTACTGTGAGAAAATAGTTCATGAGATGTAAAAAAGATATAAATTACAGGCTACAGGGTTTATTTGACTCATTTGGTCACTTCATCAGTTTCACTAGTTATTTCTTTCTTTCTGCTGAAAGATAGAAAAATCTTTGGGAAAAGCAGTTAAGATGAACCGTAGCTTTGGGCGAATGGAAGGTTACAATTGTGTTGCAGACTCACTTGAACTTTGTGGCCTGTGTTTCCACGGTGACGGAGAAACCCAGAACGCCTGAGGTGTTTCTGCAGGTGGGGTAGACGTGGTACCTGGAGAGGGAGACATGAAAAGAGACAGCTGGTTTGGGAAATGTTGAGGGACAGATTACCTGAGTGAGAAAAAGGGTTAGATTTGCAAAAAGTTAAGATCCCGTCTTTCCTGATTTCCTCTACTTTATATAATAATTTGGAATGCAGGAAATCGGAATCTAAACATGTAGGAACTAAAAGAAGAAAGGATTTGAAATGCAGATGAAAGTGAAATGACCTGTCCCAATGTATGTATGGAGCGGTTAAGTGGAGGCTTTAACATCAGGTTTTTTTTACAAAGATGAGCACAGATTCACTCCTCTGAAAAGCGTAACAATTTAATAACAATAAATAAAAAATAAAGACAGTAATACATCTAGACAGACACAGAAAGTTAATTTCAATCCATGCATTTCATTTTACCCCCCTCCAATAGATTTGTCTTAAAAAAAAATCTGCATGAATGTTATTAGTTACAATAACTTGTAGTTTTCCCTAAAAAGAATATATCTAAAACATATACTAGCTTATATTCCATTTTGCCGCACATCCCCTTTTAAAAAGTAAACATTTGATTGAAAACGTAATAACACTCACCCGAGAGTCTCTTTGGTCCGGAGGAAGTCAAAGCACGGTTCCTCCATGTGCATCTGGGAGACAACAACTCAGTTAAAAAAGATGGAATGACACAAAGAAGGAATTAATGCACGTAGATAAATAAACGCACCACCAACAGCTCCATCAGTGTGTGTTCTCTCAAGAGCTTTGGGCCAGACTAGATGAAAAGATAAAGAGGGTAGCGTGCATGAAATAAATGAATTTATATTGGAATATGTCAGAATGAGAAAGACCTGCTGCACTGCAGACGTTACCTGGTAGTAAACAGTGACCTCAGAGTTGGCATCTCCCTTACTGAGTGATTTGACCTTACAGATGTGGTGTTTCAGAGGAAGCTCCACAACTCTAAACATCACCGGCACCTCTGCTGGCAGCTTGGAAAACTGCAGCTTCCTGCCAGAGTGAAAGAAATGGAGGACAAAATAGGAGGGAAGGAGGATGGAGGAAAAAGGAAGAAGAGAAAAAAGCAGGGAAGGAAGCAAGGAAGAAGGAAAGGAATAAAAGAAGCAAAAGTAAAGACGGTCAAATGGGAATCACGTTGTGGACGACTGAAGCTAATGCAAATTACCATGCATGGCAGCAAACAAATCCACTTGATTGCATAGTATTGGTGTTCTCGTTAGGGAACGCATTCAATGTAAATGTGCACTCACGCTGTGACATACTGCAGGAACTGCTCCGAATCCTGTGGAGAAAATACAATAAACGTAAAGATGAGCGCAAGACATGAGAACGATGTCTAATTCGAGCAGAATCAATGGTTGCCAGGTGCAGCCACACAACATTAATTGATTCATTAGCTAATAAGCTAATCGATCTACTTGTGTGTGTGTGTGTGTGTGTGTAGTGCCGGTCATCCACTCACAGCGCTGCTCAGGTTGCCCTGGACCAGTCCCTCCGCGTACAGCTCGGCCCTGAAATTGCGGCTGAAGTCCATCAGCTCGTCGGTGGTCAGACCGTCCGTCAGAGCCTGATACTTCTCCACCATGGACCAGCGGGAGTGTTCCAAGATCAGCAAGCGCACATCCCTGACAGAGAGGAGAGACGGAGGAGGAGTGAGAGGGGAAAAGAGCACAACACGAGCGCCATCCACTCCTGCCGGATGAGCATCTTTTTATAAACACATTCAGGGCGGTCGCACGTACTCACCACTAGAAGGCAACACAGACTCAAAGATCGGGCCAGAAAGCAGGCTGTAAACGTGAAAAGACGAAAACGCAAAAGGACTCACTTGCCGAGTTTCTCAGGTTTAATGAGGATGTTGAAGTAGGTTTTCTTGAGCTGCTCAGTGAACATGCTGAAGACGTCAGGGGAGGCAGAGAAATCAGTCAGGTGGTCAATGATCAGGTGGAACAGCAGCTGAAGAGAGATTTGGGCAGAAAGAGGATGAGTCCCGACCATCATCGAGCATGAAAACAGGACAAACACAAGAAGCAACAGCGCTTGTTGATAAATCATTTCTTAAAAGGAATAGTAGGGCATTTTGGGAAATGCACTTGATCACTTTCACTGCCGTCGCTGAAACAATTAATCACCAGCAGACGTCATGGAGCAACTCATTCAGTGACTTATTCAGACCATGAGGGGAAAAGATATGGAATGATATTCAAAAGAACACTATATTGTAACTCCTTCCCAATGGCATAATGACTCATCTGCCAACAGCAGCATTTCCTCCTGCGCCGACCGCAGGCAGTCTCTCCCCGCTGGAATGGATGCAACCTCTGGGCTGAATGTAAATGACTGCGTGACGATGTCGCCATTATGCAAAAGAGTGCACGGCTTCATCTGGCTGCTTTTAGCGACTTGTGAAGCCAGCGCTGAACATAAATCCATCTTGTGTTTCGCTGAGATAGCCTGCCGGTGTGATTATTTTACAGCCATTGACATTTACTTCAGGAAGCAAAAGCCCGGCTGGTCGTTTCCCTTCGACTTTTAGTCTGAATGCTCAACACACTGATAGCAGAGTGGTCTCGTTATTCTCATCCGACTCGGAAAGCAGCAAAAACGTGCATTTCCCAATTTCACCATGAAGCCAATAATAACATTTATTTGGTGTCAGGAGGTGCAAAGTATCAGAGGTCACCCAGCATACCCTATTAAACAAGCATCTTAATGATGGTCTAAAAAGCTGTGATGGTCACCATTGACACATACGCTTTAATAAAACGCAAATGATTTATACGGGGCATAAGAGCCGCTGCAGCCGGATATGGTTGCGCTAGTCTATTGTCGAATACCTGTATTTTGCTGTGCATTGTGAATACATTGTGTCCGTTTTTCTATGAATTTTTTAATGTTTTTGTATTTTAGGGTGTCTTTAAAAACATCTGGCCGGGAACAGCAGACGGAAATGAGCCTGTTGATTAGTGTGCATTGTCCCTGCAAAGAAATGAATTAATAAATATTTACTTTTCTAATAAATCAGAAATCATCTGGGGCCTCATTTATAAAACCTTGCATAGGATTTGCGCCAGAAGTGGCGTACGGATGAGACATAGGACGTGCGTACGCACAGAAATATTCAGACTTATAAAACAGTGCGCACGCAATTTTCCCTTAATAAATCACAATCACTTCTAAATGCAGCGCAGCTTTTGCGGCTTCGTGTCACGCCCATATATAGTCTGTGGAACACCCACAAATTAATATTCATCGATTGCGAAATCATGGCAAACACAGAGAGGAAAACGAAGAAACGTAACTTCACTCAGTGTGAAGTGGAAATTATCATTGGCGAGGGGGAAAGGAGAAGTAAAATGCTTTATGGAGGGCACAGTGTGGGCATCACTAATGCCAAAAAGGCACCACAGCAACGCTGCAGCCTCACAACCACGGACCGTGGCCGAAATAAAGAAAAAATGGTCTGACATCAAAGTGGATGCAAAAAAGCGTTTAGCGCGCCATCGCCAAAGGGTTCCTGCTACCGGGGGGGAGGGGACACTGGAACGGTCCCCTCTTGATGGGAGACTGGCGGCAATGATTGGGGATCGGGGACAGCGTCTGAGCCAACATCGGCGTCAGGGGGTCGAGGCACGTTTGGAAGCTGTGCCACATTATGTAGCACAGCGCACGCCAGCACGATGTTGCACACATTTTCAGGACTAGACAATAACGTCCCTCCAGTGCAGTCGAGGCAGCGCCGTCTGCCCTTAAACAGGCCGATGGTGCGCTGCACTACAGCGCGAATCCTTCCATGTGCCACATCTTCTAAGAGCGCAAGATCAGCCATTTGGCGTCATTACGCATTGTGATGGCATCATGGCATTTTATTACTGTCTATTTGATTGCATCTGACAGGCAACAGCTGTGCTTTGAGGATGAATTGCATAAAATGCCAATATTATTGCAGAAGATATTTCACTTTTCTTTTTGAAAATGTGTTAATTTGTATTTCCGGTGTTCGTGTTATTTATGAGAGGCAGTATTGGCATTTCATTTACACAGAAGTCTAGTTTTACACACGTTTGTATTTGTGTTTCTTGCATTTGCCGACGGTTCTCATTTCACCCGTTTTTGTGCGTACGCATGGGTCCGAGCTTGCGTGAAGGGCCGCACATTTTTCTGTCAAGTTTGCTTTTTATAAATACCAATTATTGCGTAGAGAGCGGCGTACGCCTTCTTTTGTCTAAATGAGGCCCCTGGTGCACAAGACGTGTTCTACTGTTAAATAAAATGTTTTTCTCATACTGCAGTTAGGGGGGCACCAGTGAGGGGATTTCCTGCATATAAATCGTTTGTGTGTGCGTGTTCCATCGGATTCATCGACTCACGGCCAGTTTGTGGTTGAATCCTTTAACCTTGATGACCAGGCCGTGCTCACCGGCCGTCAGTTTATACTCCAGTTGGGCCACGTCAGCCTCGTAAGCCGGCTCGGCGAGGTGGTGGCCTAGGATGTTGACCAGCAGGTCAAACAAGACCACACTGGAGGGAGAAGGGAAGACGGAGGTTAGGGCGGACAGGGAGAGACATGATGGGGAGGAGTTTAGGGAATGAAGTTAAATAAAGCAAGGGACGGAAATGAGGTGAGGAGAGAAAGAGACAAGGAAGAAAAGAAAAAGGTAAAAAGCAAGGTTATCAATAAATAGAAGAGGGGAACGACAGGGTAAGTAAAAAAAAAAAAAAAAGTAATGAAAGGAAAATGGGGTGTAATTTGGGAGCCGAAGAAGAAAACAGCGAGAAAACACGCAATTGAATAAGGAAAAAAAATATGTTAATTAGCGTTGCAGCTTAAAAACACCGTCTTCACAAGGCAATGTTGGAGTCTGAACTTACTTCTTGGCAGATTGCTGGATTACAGGAGAGATTAAGTGGAATCTGATGTAGGCTGCAGCAGGAGAAAGGACAAACGAGTGTCAACACCTCTCAAATGATTCCAAAGTCTTTGTGGAAACATCCTGCGTGCAAATAGCTGCTCACACTACAGGCGAACAAACACACGCTGCCACATATTTCACCTTTAGGGATTTTGAATTTGTTGTCCTTCTTGTACCACAGGCATCCCCTTTCGCTGTCTGCTATCCGGACGGGAAACTCAGTGTCTGGGCAGTCAGACGGCTTCAGGGTGAAATCAGTGGCTGAACAAATGCACATAAACAATGAGGGGGGGAAAAAGAAAAAGAAATCAGAATTCATACCTGGTGCAATGTCATAAATAATAGGTTCGTTTCAACAGTTCAATATTTCCACTTTTAGCTGTTAGACGTCGCTCCACTCACCCATTCCAATAAATGATTCAATGACCCCCAGGCGTGTGAGGGGAGATGCATCATTCCTTGACATTTGATTGGTTATGTGGTGGTTTTCCACAAAAAATGTAACAGAACACAATGCCAAACTACATTACCCTTAAGGTTTGCTTAGCATAAGATCAGAGATGCCTGGTTGGGCTTTAATTGTCACTCTTAAATTCACAGGGCCTCTGCAGGTGAGACTTAAGGTGACATATTCTACCACAAGTTGATATGGTTCTTTGTGGTCTGAATAAAATGTAAAAATTCCACAAGGGTGATCGTTAACGGCACCCCTTTTTCAGCCTGCCTAAAACAGCTCTGCTCATAACAATCCGTTTGAGGTCTCAGTGTTAATGAGCCAGCTAATCCCTCCCCCTCCACCCTCCTCCTTCCGTGGTTTGAGCCTTGCATGGCATGAGTCATCATAAAAAATATAAAAAAACAATAAATATTTGTCCACTGATCTGTGATAGAAATGCAATTATTGTGTGATTCCAATCATTGCATTGATTTTCATAGTCCATATGGATGAATTTGTGTAATTTCAGGTAGAGGAAAGCAAAGGGAATAAAAATCATCCCATCATCTTTTTCTCCAATTCTAGCCGGGACATTGTCTTCATTTATGAAATGTATTGTATGGCACCGGCACCCCCGCGTGTATACAATTATCCACCGATCTGCGTACGGGGCAGTTTCGTCTCAAAGGGCGCACACACACACACACACACACACACAGAGCAGAGCGCGTGCTCTGGATAATGTTGGTATTGGTCTGCCGTCCCGTTGGTAGACGGCACCAATGCCGCGTAGAAGACTTATCAAAGATAAGTTAAAAGGAGGAGCAGCTATTTTACCGTGACAGAATCCACCGATGAAAATGCTCTATTCCTCCCAATCTGGTCGATCTGATCCCCCCCCCCCACCTCCTCCCCCCTAGAGCAAAGAGTTTATTCACCCACCGATGAACTTGTTTTCCGCCGGAAGAGTGAGCTCACTGTTGAGCTTCAGGTTTCCTGTCCACTGCTCCATCCACTCCTGCTGGATGTCTGTGTGAAGAGAGGCAATCTATAAGCATATCAGGAACGTTTGCAATTAAGATCAATGTTTGGAAATGAGCGACCTAAAGATGTAATGCAAAAAGAGAAGAATATTTTTTTTGGGGGGAGGGGGGTAAAAAAAACATTAAAATCATATTCCAAGACCAGGACAGAGATAAATGTTGGCATTTCTGCTGCGGGTTGGCGGCACTATATCCGCTTGAATATCACCACACAAGGGGAAAAGGACAATGTATTCACTAGATGACTCCATTAGGGGAAGGAGCTTACACTGGAATTGGACACAGACACACACACACACACACACACACACACACAGATACACACCTTCCACGCTGTATTGTGTGCCAAACCACTTCTCCCTGAGGGGACACTGGCCCTCGTGTTCTGGCGACAGCAGCATCAGATTGGCTTTCTCAGGGGTAAGGAGGGACAAAGCTCCACTGATCACCTACACACACACACACACACACACACACACAGTCAAGTTTTCAGCAGAAATATTTTTTTCCCCATTTATTCTAAATGACTTGTTTGTGAGAAAAATATTTCAGCTGTCAATCACAGTAAGAGGCGGCTAAACTGAATACTTGTTGTCATCACAGAGAAATATGCAAAGCCCTGATTGGACTCTAATGTTTGATGTGAAAATATATATTCTATAGTGATTAATAATAAATAATAGACGAGTATAGAAACAATATTTCTGGCAAATACATGCGTTTTCTATATAATAATTTCGGCATCAGACAGAGTAAAAGTTCTAGATTTTCTGCTTCCCAATAACCTGGTTTATCAACATTAAAAAAAAGTAGATAAGGATTGTAGAATACAATCTTAACTGGTTCTTTCCCCAAACTAGTGTACTGCTTACTTCTGGGTCAAACTCGAACATCAACTGATCTCCTGTCAGGAAGTCTTCTTTGGGGAAGAGCTGCATGTTCTCACAAATGTCCTCGACGTACTCTATAGGGTCAATCTGACAAAGAGGAAAACGCTCGCCCGTCAACAAAACTCAATGCTCAGCGTTCCTTTGTCCAAACATCTTCAAATACATGAATATTCAGATTCTTACTTGCTCCTGATAGTGAAACTCGTTTGCTTCAATCTTCTGAATCTCTTCATACACTCTGAATGCATATACAAACAGATTTAAACATCACTCGCTTCCCAGCCAGAACCTCACAACATCAACATCTCATTAAAACACATTTATAAATAAGCGATATAATGCGGTATTAACTACCACCTACACCAATGGCCCAGAAAAACACAAATATAGAGGTTATGCTTGAGCACAAGGACGTTTTTTGTTGTAGTATGTTGTGTTATTTTTGTAAGATTGTGTGTGTGTGTGTGTGTGTGTGTGCCTTTGCTGTGGTCCAAGTGTCTGCAGCATCTTCAGGTACTGGAACACCAAGTGAGTCACCTGTGAAGTACAACAGACGCACATAAATGAGATGCCATTCCGTAAAAGTCCTTCAGCTTTAATGGATAATTACCGTGGTCGTTTTATCGGTGAAATAATTGTAATAACCTCCTTTTCTCCAAAAATGATTGAGGTCAAGTGAAACGCACAGTTAAGTTTCATAAACCACAACAATGAGACTGATGCAAGGCAAAGGTTGCTAATCTTGTTGAATGGTTATTTGATTACAGTCACTAGAACAAGATAGGACAATCATTTGAATACTAAATAGAAAGCAGTGTTGTAATTTGCCCCCTCTTTTAAAATCAAAATGGGTCACATTTATTAGCTGTGAATAGCGGTCCTCATTCTGTTCGTTAGAGAACACAACAGTATGTCTTAATATTTGCTAATCGCAGAGTAAAATTAAAGACGCGCTTAAGGAGTATACTTGAGCACATATCAGTGCCTACATGTTGCGGCAATGTGCGCAAACATACTCAAAATAATAATGTATTATTACAATAAATTTAAGCATAATGGTATTTTAAATACCATATAAATACACTTCAATTCACATCAACGAAATAGCATGAACCATGGCCTCAATTTAAGGGGATCAAACCAATTTCTACATCATCAGGTGTTGTAGCATCCAATCCACCTCTTTTTGGTTTCATTTTAAACCAACAGCTAATGCTACAAAACCATTTGGTATGTTTTAGAAGTACCTTCACTTCAGTATTGTTGATGTCCGGCACTCTACCTTCTTCAAACATTTGCTTGGGTGTTCGGTTACACACTTTGAATCTACAAGCACCATGTGATTTATAACGCATGTTAAACAATCCTGCAGTTTCGGAACACCTTGTGGATCGAACATGGATCATTTCTCATTAAAACAGCATCCTTGAGGCTGTTGCAGCATTTATTAATCAAAGTTTGTTGGATGAATTGTTTTTTTTCCCCCATTACTCAGTAGATAAACTCTCCCGGTGAATGATTGTCGCTGCCTCATTGTTTAAGACACACATCGTCATAGTAACGGACAGATTGCTCCCTTGAAGTCACCTTTTGTATTCATGAAAAAGACAAGAGGGGCCAGCTGGGCCCTTGCAGGGTACAAAAAAATACACTGAATGATTCTCTGTGATGTGACAAGGACAGGATTTGAATGATGTCCTGTCAACAGAAGATAAATGCAGCTTGATTTGTTCGACTTCTCTGCTCAGGCCAGCGTGTCTCCATGTATCCACAGAATTAACTAATAATAATAATAATAAACATCTGCTTTACCTCGTAGAAGTTTTGGAAACCTTCATCCGTGAGGGTGATGGAGATGGAGAAGATGGAGTAGGTGGTGTTTTGGTCAAAGCCAGTTTCACTGTTCCCTCCGAACAAAGCCAAGGCCCAGCACCTAAAGACACAGCAATGAATGGAGGCCCATTTCAAAAGCAGGACAGCCGGGGGGAAATTCTTGCACTACCATAAACTGGAAAGAGAATGCACATTGTGTTGAAGGGTGAGCAGCGCAGCAAGTGGAAAATATGTCATTTCATGCTTCTTGATTGCAGACACATTTAACGAACACTATTGTGGTCCCTTTGAGGCAGCCGGCTCCACTTCACAAATCCCAGATTGAAGAAATGGAATGCTAAATGATTCTGTTCTGCATTTGCATGGCCTCACAGGCAGCCTTTCATTCATTTAAAAAAAAAAAAAAAGAAAAGGAGCAACTATTTGCAGCTCTTGGTATTTTGTCACATCACGTCTGCCCCTAATCTGCATCCTAAAACATGTTCCACAGTGTGATGATGTACGTCAACAGCAAAGGTCGTTTCGAAAAGGCTGCATCGCACTACCAGACAAGAAACGCCACTGAACTGAGATGCACCAGAGATTTAGCTCTGAAAGTTTTCATACTGAACGCACTGAAACCAGCAGTAAAACTGAAATAAAAAGCTGGTATCCTCCTTTAAACTTTAAAGCATCTCATCAACAGTGTTCCACACACTTTAAGTGATGGACACATGCTTAGCTATTCCCTAATTTCACTACAGGGGACAACGATGGCCCAGTTTCAAACTGTGTGTTCCCTCGATGGGACAACCAGGACAACTGCCTCAGCAGTTTAGTTCGACTGGAAATTCAAAACATAACACTCAAATTTATGTATTGTCATTTAGCAACAATTGAAAAAAGCAACCACACAGTAAATATAAATATTCTATCAAACGCTACAAGTGGTGCTGATGGTTAAGGGACTATTAGACGGGCTCTTGGTATTGTGGCACTACAGAGGGTTTGTCGCATCACTTTGCCACTTAGCAACAAGAGGCTGAAACGCTCTTGTACAACCACATCTATGATGGGAATATATGAATCATGTCGTCAAGTGGTCTGGCAAATGTTACAGTTTGAAGATCCTGACACTCGGGCCTCGCTCAGAGCTTCAAAAGAACTCATGTGTACCAAGCAAATTGAAGACCTTTCAATTGGGCTTTCGAGTGCCCTGAAATTAAAAAAAAAACAAATAGACAGAGGCAATAACACCCACTTCTTCCTGAGCACTGAGAGGATGCTTCCTGTGCCTTCATGGCCAATCAGCCAAGAGATGTAGTGGAGAGGCTTCACTCTGAGAAGAGGCGGGAAGAACATGAAATGGAGAAGAAAAAAAAACAAACAAGCATTGATGCAATCCCACTAAAATCAGGGCGAACATTGTATATGAGCTGGATGTATGAAGAGGCGCCGCTTTGGAGAAAGAAGACACTAAAATGTTCTGATGTGGGTCGTTTGATTGGATTGTGCATGAATGTGCGCTGTGCCATACAGAATATACACACACACACTGTACGTGGCTCACCTGTAGTACATCTCCTGAGGGGGGAGGGCCCAAGTTATATTCAAGGCATGAACTTTTCTCACAGGGACGACTGGAAAAAAACAAACAGTGTTAAACACATAAACACCAAAAGATTGAAAAATAACAACAGCTGCTCATTTCTACTCGTATGTATTTCCTCAACCTTTTTGGATCAAGATCTATTAAAACAAGTAGCTGCTACACTGCATTTCTGTTCACACCCTGTAAGCAGTTCAACCACATTTAAAGAAAATATTCAGATCCATTTCAGATAGCGCTATTCAATAGCTTAAGATATTCATGTAATGTAAATAAAGCAAAGATTGGAAGATTTACAAAAACATTTATAAATTTGAATCGCTGGAAGTAATGTTTGCAATACAACGCTTCAAACCACATCTTGACCCCTCAGATACATTCGGAGGAGGGGAACGACAGCCAAGTACACCAGACGAGTTCGGCAAATAGCAAAGTGCGGTGGGATTGATCAGTACCTCGGTAAAGCCGGTTAAAACCTGGCGTGTCAAAGGGATCCAGCAGGTTGGAGAAATTTGGCTTGGAGAGACCACTATGGACACAAGCAAAGAATTTTAGGAAGTGATGGTAGCCATCAAATAAACACTTATCACTACGTCAATTTAACACACCTTGATTCCAGTAGGGTTTTTTTTAAGTAATATTCTTGAAGAGAACACATTTTTACAAAGTAGAGAATATTTTTAATAAGCGACAACTGAAAAATAATCTAATAAGTTTACTAAATGAGCACCTGCCAAACTCAAAAACTATTACTATGTTTTCAGGGTGATAAATCAATTGAATTGGTCTAGGTAATCTATAAAATACTTCCTAATCTATCAGAGAAGTGTTATCAACACATACAGGAGCATGTAATCCCTTCACTGAAATGAAAGCATTATGTGGTTTCACCTCACAGGTTACGCATGTTGATTCTCAAAAAGAAACCTGCCACAGGGGCTCCTAAAGCAAGTAGAAGTTCTGTAAAGAAAAACTAATCCTATTTGACTTTGGGGAAAAAAAACAATCTCTTTCAGTGTTGAGGGGAGCAAAAAAAACGAGATGAAGCAAGGTAAAAAAAAAAGGTTAAGAAAAAAGAGGGCGAGACAGAGGCTTGACATTTAAATCTGAGGTCTCAAAAGATTTTCAGGCTCAATCTAGATCACACCAGCGCCGCATCACTGTGGCCGAGAGCCTCTTCTCCAAAACTCACTTGTTAGGCACCTTGCTGAAGATCTCCCTCACCCACTTCTCCAGAGTGTCCAGCTTCTCTAAAAAGGACAGGCAGAGTGGAGGAGGCTCAATTACAGTTTGAGTGAGTCTTAATAATTCTGGTGGAAAACTCCTAATTCTTGGTTTGGGAGTCTTTAGTGAAATGTAGTTTTCATTCCGCCCATAAATGCTCAATTCGTAAACGCTTTTGCCTTAGATTGTTTTATTACTATAGATTATAGCTTAATCCGCCCATATAGTTAAAGGTAAAAATAATTTATGAAAAGTCACCACTTTCTGTGTTTTCTAACCAAATTATACTCGATAATATATACTGGATACTATTGGTTTGCCATTCCTAATTAATAAGGAGGTAAAACGATCATAACAATAATTTAAACTGCAATGTAGTTTCTTTAGATTACATTCTGTAATTTAATACTTTCATATTGTGTAATTCTATATAGTTGTTTCAGTGCAACTGCCCGTCATTCTTTACTGTGTGGGATTCAAATTACACAGACAACGGCCTGCTGCCCCGCCCGCCCCCCATTTGTAAAAGCCTTCCTTTTTAATGGATATGCTCCCACGGGACATCGATACTGACAGTATCACTGGTATAAATATAAAGTTGGGATCTGTCTCATGCAAGGCTCTGCTTTCTCTGCAGGCAATCTGTGCTTGATGGAAAAAACACTGCCGCCTCGCGCGCAGCAAGAGATCGGATTGTGATCGAAGGCTCACAGCATGATGGAAAAAGGCCAATTATTGACTTCATTCTTTAATAAAACAATGCAACATATTTATTCCCTCAATGGTTTGTGTGGCGTTGCTGTAAACAGATACAGAAGTCGCTCTTTCTCTGCCTACAGAAACAGATACTCGGGAGATTTTAATAAAACAACTGTAACAGAAACCGCGGAAACAACAACTCAAAGCTGCCGTTATAAACGGTAACTGGACTGCACTCGCACGGCGCTTCTCTAACCACACAAAGTGCTTTAACACATCAGTCGTCAACCACCGACGCACTGAAAGTCATATTCAAATTTTTTGGAAACAAAAATAGAGTTGGAAGCAGAAGTCAAGACGCCACGTGAATGTTCTTCATATTCACTGGATATCTAATTATATATATATATATATATATATATTTTAAAACCTTTGCCATATCAACTTTACAAAGAGGTACCGTGTTTATAATCAATAATGATTGTATAAACTTTATATAGGCTTAATGTTTTTCTTTTCAATGGATCAAGAAATCATCATGAAATCATCCTTTATCACTTTGCAGGGTTTTCTAGGGGCTTCAAATAGCAGGAGGTTTCAAGAGGGATTCAGGCAAATAATTCAGCGGTTTTATCGGATAATTTTTCACAGCACAAATGTCAAAACTATAATTTTACCTTCATGGCGCAGTTAATTAGTCGGGTGATATTTCATGCAAAACCCTGAAAACATTTGATATATTTTGCATTTGACTTAATTATTTCAAATTGAGTTGATTCAGGAATGATTAACCAGTTGGCTAAACATGGAGGAATTCTTGTCAGAGTTGAGACTAATTATGTTTTAATTAATTAATTAATCTACGGATTTCTTTTTCACTTCACTCGTCTGTTGTATGAAATTATTAAAAATTAATACATTTCTGTAAATCTATTAACAAGGCTGGTTATTCACGTATAATAAATGAAATACATATTTCTGACCTTTAGACTGCACAGCCAGAGTCATGTAGTGAGCAGAGTAATGCTTCTTCCAGAAAGCACGTAGTCGCTTGTAGACATTGATCTTCTTCTCCTTTGGCTCGTGCTTTAGCGTCTCCGCATTCCCTGGTGTGGTCACAAGGAAGCTATGAATTCAGCAGAACTATAAAACACTGTAAAAAGTATCGGTTTACAAAAGCAGCGATATCAGCCTGAAAGGAAACTTGGCGTCGGTCTCAGCCCTCCTGTTTGTTATTGCCTAACATACCCCAAGGAGGCCCTGTGTGTATTACGTGTCCCAGCGGTTGTGTTTACCAACTCACCCCAGCAGAACTTGCCCATAGGGTGTCCAGGTTTGGCCAAACCGCCGAACAGCATCTCCTTCCTGTGGGAGTCTGACGGCTTAGCCAGCTGGTACTCTGATGGACAGAAGGGGAGGCACAGAAAAGCTCGATCAATGGCGCGCTACAGAGCTGCGCGTGTGGAGAACTCGGCAATGCTGCGGACGAAAAGTTCAACTCCAAAACACAAAAGCCGAAATCCAAGTTCCCAGCGCAGAGGAGTGACTCACGGAGACAGCCAGACTCACCGCTGTCAACGGCCTCCACCTCCCGATCGATGGCGTCACGGATCATCAGGGGGCAGATGAAGAACTGAGCCCACCTGAGGGAGCACAAAGAGGCAATGATCAGGGGCCGTGCACCAGCCAGAGAGAAAGGACACGGGTCAGAGGGACACAATCAGAGGTAGACGGATGCAGAGGACAGACAACAACAGGGTGGAAGTCAGCTGATTGACCCTGTACGGTTTGTCAGTGTGTTTACCAAAACAGCCTGTGAATCGTGACGTATCATATCTTTGTATTCATAAACCATGTTGCTAAGTATTGGCAAAAACGTTTCCCCCTTTGGCATAGCGATCAAATGGGAGCACTATGTTGTAAATAGGTGCTAAAATAAACAATGCAATAAAGTAAACCAACGTTCCCACATTAGCAACATAGTCTTCTTAAAACGCACCTCTTTTCTTGGCTTTTAACACTACGTAGGTTGTTGATTTTATTTGCACAGATATTTTATCTGGGGAGGACAGTCGATTTATTTATTGATTATGTTTTATTGTACAGCACTTTGGGAACCTTTGTGTTCATTTAAACTGTGCTTTATAAATAAAACGGATTGGATTCCTTACATCTTTAAGCCATTGGTTAAGTCTTACTAGTGAAATACTCATTAAGTTGAAACCAGTGGGTCATCAAGAATTTAAACTCAAAACATATTGATGAATTTGTTCAAAGCTGGTGCATCTCAATCCTGACCTGGTCTTTTGATGACCAACTGCGGAAAAGTTAAAAAAAAAACAGGATTATTACGAATAAAGATAGATCTATCCATCTATATCTGAAAATGATCAGATGGTGAAAAAGTCCACTGCTCCACAAACAAAAAACATCAATCCTCACTCACCTGTCAAGAGCCTCTTTGAAGTTTTTCCTCTGGATGTCAAACTGGAAGACGGTCCTCTCGCAGTCGGTTGAGGCGTTGTCGCTCCCGCCGTGTTTTTTGAGGAAAGCGTCAAAGCCATTTTCCGAGGGGTACTTCTCGCTGCCCATGAACACCACTGTGACAGAGTGGAAGATGTGTGTGTGTTTTATTGTTTATAAGAATGAAAAGGAATTTAAAAAGGAAAACTCCCCCACAGTTTTGCGATGTGCCTCGCATTTGTGGTTCTCTTATTTGTGTGGGAAGCTGGCCAAACAAAGATGGCAGTAGATTTACCGCTGAGCCACATTAGAAATTAATAGCAGTTTCTGACATTTGGTGAAGGTTTTGATGACGGTTTCAAACAGATCACTTACATTGGTAGAGCACACCGATAAAGTAACTGTTCCACTGACAGTTGCATCAGCAGACTGGAATTCACCATGTTAAATTACATTTTAAGAAAACTTTTTTGAACGGAATAAAAACATAACCCTTAAAAATTTCTGATCCGTTTTGTGTTGCTTGATGCAGGGCATTCTGGGAAATGTCAGTGATTACCGCCTCAAGTAGAAGCAGACAAAACAGGTTACGGGAAAAGAGGGTACAATGAATAATTAAAAATAACAAAACAACTCCTGGAATGCATTAAATATGGTTGCTCTTTAGGTTTCTCTTTTTTCCCCCGCACATTAAAGTTGCAAGATCCGAGATTGGGAGCGTTTGACTGCTTTGAACATGTCGACGTTGACAACGTGAGGGCATTATCGGCTTTAACCACCATGTGAGAGCAGTGCAGAGTGGCATTCGTGAGTTTATCCGCGGACCCGATTACAGGCACCAACGTGCGCTAAAAGCAGCAGAAGCTCCACACATATGGATGGAGGGCAGCGGTATTCTCTCCGACATCACTCCAATGTAAAACTTGAAATGGTTGTCTACGGTTGTCTGCTGCTATATTGATGTTAGGAATGTCAAATAAATCTCCTTTAAAGTTTTGTTTGAGTTTGTACGTCGTACAGACTTTGACTGCTTTGATAGCTAAATGCATGACTAGTGACCAGGGGATGCGTAAATAAAACTCACCCGACATGATGGAAAAACAATATAAAACCATTGCCTAACGTATAACTACTAAATTTGAGGGTGAATTAACCTTTGACCAAAAGAAGTTGAGAATTTAATGGAAAAAAACTTGACCCTTCTTTGGTTGACTACTCACTGTGCTCCAGAAAGTGAGCCAGGCCAGGGAGGTCACTTGGGTCGCTGAAGCTACCCACTCCTACACACAGCGCTGCTGCAGACTGAAACACACACACAGAATATAGAGTCAATTTTGAGTCTGGCAATGCACTTGAACTTTAATTTTAGTGATACTAAAGCCTCCTCTAGCTTACTCCTCTGTGCTATTGGCTTTTGTTATTGAATATTAGTAAAACCATCTGGATGAGCAGAACCCTGCACGGTAGTTTATTTTAAGGCATTCCCTTATGCACTGTCCTGCTACTGTTAACTATCTAACACATTAATGGCTTTGTTAATAATGAGAAATGTATATACTTTAGTTTACAGTTTGTGCTGACTCTCCTGCAAAAATCTGCCAATTTCTTTGGTTCCAAAACAACAAGTTTGTTGTCAACTCTGCACAAAGTTAATGAATGGAGTTCTATATTTAAACACTTCCCCCTCGGTACCTGTTTCTCTGCATTTCTTTTCTTTTTCCCTTCGTCATCATCTTCATCATCATCACTGCCCCTCCCGTCGTCGTCGTAATTGTCGTCGTCTTCTTCCTCAGTTTCCTCTCCAGATTCGTCGCCCTCCTCTTCCTCCTCCTCCTCCTCTTCGCCTTCATCTTCTCCATCAGAGTCCTCGTCTTCAGATCCAGCCGGACCGCTGTAATCGGAGATGAGCAGAGCTCGCAGGCCGTTGTCCAGCACGATGTGTCTACAGGAAGAAAAGTTTAAAAAAAAGGTGAAACAGCACAGAGTGAGAAAAAAAGTGCCATTTAATTGAGATTTATTTAATTCATTCTTTTTTTATTATTATTCTAAAACAGGTTGTTTTATCATACGTCTCTTTGCAGACTGCATCTCATACCCGCTGAGACTGTCTTTCTATGCCTCTTTCACAGCAGATTTCTCTGTATGTGCCCCGAAGAGGCCTGAGGCGTTGATGCCTGCTCATAGCATGAAATCATCCCATCCAACTACAACAAAACTGTACTGATCCAGCTGGAAGAGAGGCGCGATATATCATTTCGGGTACATTCTCTCAGCATTTGTCACATCACTGAATAAGAGAACATATTATCACTGCACATTCAATCGTACAAATAATTGTGACTGATTGATAAAGTCCAAAATGGGGAAGATCAATCATGTGAAGGGGTGACACTACAATGCTTGATCGAAATACCTGTACTGTTTGGGGTCACTGGGGGACTTGATGATCTCGCCATCTCCAACATTGTCCTCTCCTCCCCCTGCGTCCCTCGCCGCCGTGCACTCCTGCCGGGACACCGGGTGCGCCTCTCCTTGCACAGAGCCGGAGGACTCGGACGCGGGCACGTTCCTCGATTTGTTTGTCTGCGGCATCCTCGGCACAGCTGACGCGACGTGGGGACTGCGGGCCGACAGCAAGGCGCGACCGTGAACAACAGGACAGGTCGCCGTCAGCGGGGCAGCACAACGCGTCAGCAGCCTGAACAGAGCGATGGTGAATGCGCCTCCCTGACGGGCCAGAACGACGACGCCAAAGCTCAGAAAACTGGACAGAAACACCGCATCTGTGTGTGTGTGTCTATATGAGTGAACCCCTCGCTGTCACACGCACCAGCCGGCGCGCACAATGAAGCTATTCACACCAGGCTGTCTGGTGCATTCGCCTTTATTCGGCTGGGTGTCAGCTAAAAACACGACCGAGGCGGACCCTAGAAAACTGACCCTAAAAAAACTCTGACGTGAGCAGAGTGACCACAAGAATCCACAAACCACTCTGCCAAGTTAGAACTCGGCGTTACGCACATATAGAAGGTAAACACGAGTCGTTCACTATGGGCGTATTATTAAAACTACAGGTCCGCATATTCGATATACTCTTAAACATGAGCTTTTACGGGTTTCCGCTAAAGTTGTGAAGTCGAATTCCAAACGAAACTTTTAAAAAGAACTTGGTGAAACCGGTGCGGCTGCAATGTTTCCGTACCTGGGTCTCTGTTGACAGCACAAGGGCCTGAGCATATGCGGGCGCAGGGGTCTCCCCAACAACCGGCGCTCTGATTCGCCGAAAAGATTTCAGGCGTTTACATGGCGCCCTCTGATTGGCTCCGAGCGGGGAAAGTCGAGGGCGAGAGAGGCGGGGTCTGTGTGCGCTACCACGTGCGCATCACGGAGCGGTGATGGCTGCAGGCGGAGGGACAGAGGCAAGTTGCCACCTGGATGTAAGCAGCAGCTGCCGGCCATCTGTTTATGATTATGACTGTTAGATTGAGGATGTTCAATCGACCACTTGTCATAGCCAGTAAATGTCGGATTTTTTCATCTCATTAGCCAATATAGAAGTGAATTGGATGTGAATTTTCTTGACAGCCACGGTGCTGCATGCAAATTCTACCCCGTCACATCACTTAATGCACCTGCTTAAGGTTCCAAACAGGGACTATTGGTTTAGGGGCCCACTAGGTGGCAGGCATAGGCCACAAGGGATGTTGGGCAAAACGTAACACCTGATTTTTGATCTGAGATCAAGTCTGTGATTTAGATTTAGAGTCTGGGATGTAGATGCTTCTATTACATGCCTGTAGTTTCTCAGATTTCAGGGATTGTCAAGAATTTATCATTTTAAGTATGCATATTTATTGTGGTCCTTTGAGACATCAAAGTATGAAAGGTAGAAAAAAGGTGCTTTTAAAGAATTTTCTTTTTAAAATGTTGAAATTGGATGAACCCGAGGTCAGTAACAATAAAATTAATTTTAAGTAAGACTTTGTAAGAGATTGATTGATGATCCCCTCGCAATTATAGTAATATAGTCTTCCTTTAAACTTCAGTTCCCAGTCAAATGGTTAAAAACTAAATCTTATCATGAATCAGCCACATTGACATTTGTCCAATGTCCTTCCTCAGACTCCCCTCTGCAGTGTGTTGGCATTTCACCCCTCCACTGTGCCAATATGTCCTCCCCCTCACTCACCAACTCCCTCTCTCTCGCTGTGTCTCTCTGTCTGAAGCCAATCTGATTTGCCCCTGGGCTCCTGTCGGCAGAAAGAGGTGATAAACACCGCAACCATGACAACCGGTGAGCCAGACACATGCCTGAGTTCCTCTATCCTAATGGCTTTACTTGGCATCCTCTCCTCTTTTAATTCATCAAGTCCAGTCTTCCCCTGATCTAAATTTAAGACACCCGGTGCAGATGACAGCAGCGTGCTTCCACAACAGTTTGTTGAGTTTTCTCAGCCCGTAGTTCCAAATGGTGGAAGATAAACCACATTTAAACAACCGCATTGCTTAAAATGGACCTGAATAAATATTTCCCCAAAGTGATTACAATTAACAGAAATGTTATTGTTAAATATCGATTCCCCTGACTTGCTCTGGAGCAGTCCGAAAAAAAAGGTACTGAGTGGATTCTCGCAAATATATGATCACTAATGGAACCTTTGAGGCAACACACTATAGTGTTGCCTCAAAGGTTCCATTCATATATGAATGGGGTTTTTGGAGCAAAAGTTCGGTTTTTGGAGCAAAGTTCGCAGGCGTACTGCTGCAGCCCTGTGAGTACGGGGCCATTGCTCGGCTGAAATTGCAAGGCTGCGGTAATAACGAAGATAAGCAGCCTATTACAACTGTGTGAAAGTGCCTTTACATGCCTCTCCACCACGTGGAAACTCTCAGAGCAGAATGGCAGGGCTTGTGTTAGGGATCGATTGGACAGGCCCCTGCAAATCATGAACCTCCCCCTTAATGCCGGCACACATGGCCTTTTCATGGTCAGGTACATGGTGTTAGCGCTGCTGCATCGTGAGCCGTCATAATTCCAATTTCTTTCCACTTTTGTACCCCTCCCTATGAGCAGGCCCAAATTGAAGTTCGGATTGGGCACCCCGAGCCTCTCAGGAAATAAAAATGCGTCCGCCTGAGATGTCCATGTGTGCAATGTAGAATGCAGCCGGCTGGATCATTGTAGGTATTGTGAAACTTCCTGGAGAGATATTGGAGGCAGCAGCAACAAGACTTTACCTTGAGAATTCAAGGGGTCAGGGTTCCAGCAGCAACTGATTTGGATCCTAATTAAAACAGGGGATTTGATTAATTAGCTCCGCAGTGTGTATGTGTGTGTACGTGTGTGTATGTGTATGTGTGTGCGTGCGGTAGCTCACTGCATGTGGCATGTGTGTGGGAGTCGGCATGTTATTGTGAGTCACGGTGTATCTTGCGTGTGGCTAAGCTAACTGAGGAGGGGGTGTTGTATGCCTATACATGTGTGTGTTCGTGAGCCTCTGGGTAACGCTGTGAATCACTACTCCTCCAGCATGTGTGCTCATGTGTGCTCATGTGTGCTCATGTGTTTCATGTCCCCCGGGACGCTTGTCCTTGCCTGCAGTGATGCTGTGTGAATCAGAGGTGAGTCCTCTGTAGCTGCCCTCTACTTTAATCTGCAGCTAATGACAAAAACCACCTGTCCTCCTGCCCCCCGCTCCCACCTCTCCCACCCTCCCCATCCCTCCATCAGCATATCCAGCCTCCTGTTGGTCCCTATCCCTTCTCCTTTACCTCCCCCCTCTCCCCTCACCACCCAGCCCCTCACAGACCTCCAAATCCCCACTGCTTGTTGTCTCCCTCTAACTCTCTCGTTCAACTGGAATGTTATTTTCCTTTCCCTCCTTCCATCTCCCTCTGCCCTGCTGTCTTCCACTTGCTTTCTTCTCTATTCCACAGAGTGCAGGATGCCCTTGTGTGCCTCTCTGATTGCCTCGTTCCACCGAGCAACTAAAGACCGGGGGCAGTGCGGGCCTTAAAGAAACCCAAAACACATGTGAAAGGACAGCGCAACGTTATGCGAACAGCGTGGATGGCTTTGAGGAGTTTTTCTGACCCATGGATCTGGATGGGAGAGGAATAAACCATGTTCTTGCTGTCGTCGGCGTGTCTGCCTGTCCTCAAGTCTTGAGTGTCTGTGCAATCGTGCATGCAAGGCAGTCCCGGTGGATATCTCGAGAAAAAGAGCATAATTGGAGGGAGCTGCAAAAAACGGCCTGACCACTTCCCGCAATGTGTCCAAAGTGGACACAAACAGAAGACAGAGTAGGGGGAGGAAAACAAAAGGGGAGAAATCCAAGACAGAACGGCGTGTAAACCAGTCTGAATTGACTGGAGCCCAGGAGAATCAAATCCGAAAGTAAAGAGGGGAGAAAGGGAAAAGAGAGGGGTGGGGAGAAAGAGAAAATATAGGGAGTATGATCTGACAGAATTAATTTAGAGGAGAGAAAGAAAAAGGCTTTGGAGAGACAGAAAGCGGAGGAGGAAGAAAGGAGAAGTGGCTGAAGGGAAACAGCATGAATCCCCATCCATTTCAGCGCTGGACAGCTCCACAGACAGCACTAGGCCAGTATAAATAGATCCCCTACTTTAGAGGCGCCGTCAACGCTCCAAAAAAGTGCTTTATGTGCTCAAAGCAGCTCCTGCCCCTGGAGAACAGACGTGCAGGTATCTGATGGTGCCCGATAGCCATCTTCTCTCAGTTCCTCTCCGTTTGTTTTCTTAATCTAGGGAGCCTCCACGGTTCAACGGCAACGCTACGGTGAGGAAAGTGAGTGTTTTTCTCCCAGATTCCCCGTCACGGGCATCGTTGCACTCTGAAGGAGAAGATATTGCCCGAGGTCTGGGATCACATTATCCCTGGTGCTGATCTGGCATCACCGACCACAGAGCTGGAAACAATAGCTCAGTGCCAAACCCTTATTCATAAACGTCAGCTGCAGCCCCGCTTCTTGAAGATGGCCTGAATGTCTGCATGGGTCTGTTAGCAATCTCCACAAATGCATGTGGCTGTGCATACATGCCTGGCATCAGCCGGCCTATTTCCATTGTAAGTGAGCATTAAGTAGCCTTGTGGAGAAGCGGTAATACAGCCTAATGCACCTGAGAGCCCTGAAATCTATAACCATCATCGGCGTCTTCCTGATATTACTGGAACCGTCTCTGTTACTGTTTCAGATAGGAATCTCCAGGGAGAGCTCTCCCCTCCGCTGCTGTAGGGAGAGGTATGCCGGGGGATGCAGAGAGGAAGGGGAGGGCGTGTGTGAGGCAGAGAGGCACCTCTCCATTTCCTCAAGGTGATTCACCTTAATGCACGCTGAAATCAATGTGAAATTGAACTGAAAATTGAACTTTCAGCTCAGTAATGTAGAAGACATGTTGTTATTAAGTCTTTTCCTTCAGCCATGAAGCCGGCTGAAGGACATTTGAACGCTTTTGAATGCTTGTGTTCAACATTGTGGCGCCACGCAGTCCTTGATGGAGTGCCATTGGTCCACTTGGGACCCCGGGCGCACACAGGGGGTCCATACCTGCCCTGCTGCCACTTAAGAGTCTGCAGCTATTGATAGAGCAGCAGCCACCCAGCCTGTGGTTAGCCCGAGTACGTTGCAGGAGAGGGGGAGGGGGGGGGGGGGGTCCATTGCTCTGCAGTTTCTGCACCATCTGTTGCGCCCACCGTTTCCATTTGGCAAGACAGGTGTTTTGATGTAGGCCGCGCAAACATCCAGGCCTCTCTGTAATCTCCCAATAAAAGTCACCACAGTTTTCCCGACCGATGCCGGGCGCGTGCTCGCACACTCGCGCGTGCGTAGACGTGCGCGACGAAGCCAGCTGGCACGGGTCGCCATGGTAACACACATCGGTCTCGCAAAATCCGTCGGCGCTTAAGGGCAGGAGGAGAAATGAATAAACTAATGAGATTATAAATTATTGTCGGTATAGCTGAACAGTCGCGAGTATCTTTACCAGACTGCACACGCGAGGAGAAAGTTTATGGGGGCCCATTGTTGACTCCGTTGTGCCTCCTGTAATCTGTTTATGATGAGGAAGTGAACGGGCTCTTCTGTTCGTGGAGGAACGCGCCCTGCGCGCTCGTACGCCTCATACACAAAACTTGCAGTTGCGCGCCGCCTTATTGCATGATTAATTCCAGGCCCGTCTGTCCGCCCCCCTCCACCAGCCCCCCCCACACTCCCCTTTCTCCTCTATGAATT